TATRACCTGCAGCTGGAGAACTCAACAACTGACCGTGTTGTAATTGTGTTATCATCTTATTGGATCCAATAYAAGAACGAAAGTTTAAAGGAGAGACAAATAAACTTCGTTACAGGCATTGACAGCGAGATTTCACAATTTCATTTAAAAATTGTCAAATTTGATATCAACTCCAACTGCGTTGGCTATACACATAATTAAGCATGGTGGAAATTGGACGTCAATGACTTGTATTTTAATAATAGCGCGTTTATGAAAGAGAAAGGGAGACAGTATGGAACACTCGGCGTTTTAGCCTACAATTTATAATGATATTACAAAAWTGGATATGTATCAAACAACATCGCAACATGCTATATGTTCAAAGAGCATGTTTACATGGAGGTCGTGTTTAATTCCCGCCATTGTCGTCTTTCAGCATCAAACGTGGCTTCACTTTTACTGCAATTTTTTCTCCAATCTATCTACCAACTGAAAAACTAGTAAAGAAATTACAGACACAAAACAGGAAGCCTGGAAGCTTTGTGCGAGCTGGCTTCGTAACCCAACCGTGTCCCATTATAATAATAAAACTACTGCAGGGCAGATGGAACTCTAGCCTACGCAAAATAACTACAGAAAAAATTTCTCGTCAGACARTCTAAGCATGAAAAATACTAATTCATAGCTTTGCCAAATTTGTCTAAAAATACCGCTCGTGTGAGATAGCCAAGTCATATATAATTTAGGAGCATATGTGCCAATCCAGTTCATCGATGACGTCAAGTGCTGTGTTATAATGGAAACATTATTGTTCAATAACTAGAATGACGTCAATTGGGTGGTCTTGTAATTTATTGTTATTGTTAAATTTCAAGTGGTTTTATAAAAACAGCGGCTTAAAAATAACGACAAAATCACTCGAAATCATATTTATGTRCTTTCTTGTTAAAAAGAAGGTTAAAATTATACGAAGTTAACTAATAGAATTTATTTTTTGTATTATATATTTGTACATAGATTTGAGATGATATCGTGCGTCCGAATAAAAGTATATATGAAATAACTAAGTTTGTTTTTGATTTTTACCTTAATGCTTATCGTGGTCTTTGCGGTGAAGTATTATTTTGAACAAAATCACGCTTTTTTAAAACCCCAAATTGTTTTTGTGCGGCATTTGAGTTAGTATAGCTACCATTTGCCAGTGCTTCTGGCTATTCAAACAAAAGTACAAAAGACAGCGATCATTGTCGGTAAAAATGACCRTCTTTCTGTTGATTATTTTTTCTTTGTGYTTGTTGATGATCGAAAGCGAAACGCGCTCTCTAGAAGCCTAATGAGTTTTCCTGTTCCTTCGAGGAAGTAAAATATCTTAGCTTAGACTGAGAACACTGACGGAAATAGAAAAAATATGGGAGTGGRAAGTGTGCACCGTAACACGTGCATCTTTTTCTTTTCAAATCTTTGTTCATCTTCAGTGTCTCCTCCTGTTCCTGGTTCGACGGCCGTCGGTCTTAGTTCTTTTGTATCGTATTATTTTGTTTTYCAACTTTTATTGTTCCGACGCTGTTTAAGCAGATCCAAACCGATCTATAATAGTCCATGGCCCGAGCATTTGAGTTTATCAATTCGGAAATCAAATAACCAGGGATGAAAGAAGAGAATATGAATCTTATTGCCAGCTCCTTTGTATTCTATTATCGCGATCTTTCAGAGCCTTTCTTGTTTAATAAGGTAGTGTCGGTTATCTAACATAGAGGTACTTAGGTTTGCATGACTGGCGGTATTGGAAGCCTCGGTGCCTTGGTAAATGATTGTCCTTAGTTGTTTGTACTTTTGTCAAGACAGTTACGTAACCGTAATCCACGTGCGTTCCTCAAACGATCTTTTTCACGTAAATCTTGCAGGTCCTCGCAAGTTGGGTACAGGTTACGTTTACTGATGGTCAGTTTGCATCAAGATCTCGTTTATTTTGATTGGAAACGTTTATTACGTAAAGAGACTCGTTTACAAAACGTTTACGTGCGGGTRAAACAAATTATTTAATTAAAACAAGCGATACCTTAAATCCCGGGGATTTGAAAAAATAAACTAGAGCAATTATTTGATGACTGCGCCAGTCTATTTCTTTTATATGATAAAGTTTTTGACACGAGAAATAATTGATAAAGGAATGATAGTTTTTGATCAGAAACTCAGATGTAATATTGTGTGCAAAGTGGTTTCTTGCGTGGATTCGTTTTGGATGCGAAAGCCTATCAGACCATGTAACGATTTTGTTCACCCAATTTAGTTACTTAAAATTTCTATGCTTCACATATATAAACCATCGATTGGTACTAATTTTGCCAATTCTTGAATTTTGCGGTTTTCCAGAATTGTAAAAAAAAATCGCTAAATTGAAAACTCGCTCGCGTAAAAATCGCCTTAAAATTTAATCGCGTATTTAACTGCCCGCAAAAGATGGGTTTCCAGCATGGAGATGAACAGGTGGTACCTGGTAAGTTGCGGTTAAAGTAGAAAATAATTGTTATTGCGCGCGCAACGCCACGTGCAAAGCGATAAAAATTGTTTATTATTATACGTCACAATGAGGATTTTTCTGCTTGGTTAATCACAGCGTAAATTTATGCAAGAATAACTTGAAACTGTGCGAGTGTCCATTCTTACTGCTACTTAGAAAATGTTTTCAACTCCAAAGAATTTTTCTTGGATAGTGGATGGACGTCTTGCAGGCTTAGCACGCCCRAGTTCRCGAGCRGAACTCGAGTATTTGATAAGACAAGGGATTAAGCATATTGTCTCRTTGACTGAAACCCCTTTGTCTGCAAGAATTAACATTGATGGACTAGCTTTAACGTACTCACATATACCAATTAATGATCTTACTGCGCCCAGTATAGAACAAGTRAAAGAATTTCTAGCGGTGGTGGAAAATCATCATAAAAACAACGAGGTACARTGTCAATAGAATCTACATTATATAACTTTATATGAATATACTGTATCTAAGTTGTTGATTTAACAGAGTTAGCCCTAGTTCTAACGTCGCGTCTATAACTCTAATTAATGGTTTATTCCCAGGGCAGTTCTTGCACTTTGAATTCGTCATGGCGTTTTATATATTTTATAGAGTTGGCCGAACTCAGCATAGTCCGTAGAAGTGAATGGATTAGACTTCAACTCTTAATTCTCGTGAACTACATGCAAAGAATTTATAGTTACACACAGCAAAAGATTGACGTCTGAACGAGGCCTTAGTCGTTTTTGACAGTTGGAAAGTCATTATTATAGAGTAATTTCTTTCAAACTTTTTATTTATGCGTGATTGGATTGAGGGAAGAGGCAAAAAAAATTTAATTCAATATGAAGACTTTGAAAGCTGCAGGTAGCACGCAATATGGTAATGCACCACAGGAAGCCCAAATGTTAGTATCTGTGGCTCCCGTTTATTTCAATCTTTGTCGCGCTCACTTCATCAGCTAAATATTTCCAAATATATTTGCAGGCTGTTGCAGTCCACTGTCACTATGGTCAAGGAAGAGTAGGAACGATGCTCGCTTGCTATTTGGTRGAAACAAGCAATATGTCTGCTCATGATGCAATTCATGCAATACGGACAAAAAGACCAGGTTCAATCGAGACTAAAAGTCAAGAAAAACTTATAGCAAAGTTTTCAGAATTGAACAAACAAAACAGATAATGCAGATTAATTCATTCGAACACAGGGCTCCCAGCAATGCCTGAGCGCAGTGACCCAAACAATCTCGTATGTTCACAAACTATATATTTGACATTCGGCAATACTTCAAATCGTCATATATAAGTTACATATATACATATATATAAAATATCAGGTTCCTTGATATATGTCCTCGACAACATGCCGCAGCATCTGTTTCACCAGCAGTCCAACATTTTATTTTGTAACTTGCAATAAATTATTATTATTTTGGTCTGATTTGGTCAGTACTTGCAGATAAACATCTTGATATGCTGATGGTTTCTTGGAAAAAACATAAAAATTCTTGAAAAAATATCAGATAAGAAGGAAACAGTATATCATGAAAAGCCGACGCGTGTGATAGTAGAAAATATGTCAAATATTTCGAAGACGGGGTTCCTGTGTTTTGACAGTAATGGCGGACACAGAGCTAGTACACAACAAAATGATACCTAAAATACTCGTTTAAAATGAGCTTCCTAAGTTGTCTTGTAAACAGAAAACTGACCTACAGACTATATTGTCTGTCCTCGCAAATACCCAAAGGATTTTGGTGGCTTAAACAAGGCAAACTCGCTGGTCTAGCCAAACCGAAGACGAAGTCAGACTTGGAACTTCTCAAGAACAATGGCGTTACACATTTAGTTTCTCTTACTGAAACGCTTCCAGATCTACACGGAGTTGACATAGAAAGTGTTCATATGCCAGTTCCAGGAGGAGGAATACCAACTGTCCAGCAAGCTCACGAGTTTTATGATATAGTAGAGAAAGTAGGAGCCAATGGAGGTGTAAGTAATTTATGCCACAGGTAGCCCAAGTTCTTGTGTCTCGTGACCGAAAGAGCTAACGCAGTCGACGCAGTCTACATTTGTTTCATCCGGCGTACCTAACATGACTATTAAGTAACAATGCGCTAAAGAACTAGGGAACTCTCTATTGTTCTGGGGCATAGCAAGTTCCCCACGTACGAATGTCTTGGTTTTCACGCTGATTATGTATCCATCTGTGGGTAACACATTTTTGAACTAAAATGTGGTTAAACTCTATTTTGAAACAAAGTTTCTTTTGTATTAAAAGCTCTTATCCAATCATAAGCACTCAAAACAATAGCCAAAAGATGTTTCTAATTTGCAATGTTCCCCACATAGAATTGAAGCTAAAGAAAGCTTTCATGAAAGCGAAAACAGACATTAAATAAAATATTAGAAAATTCGCTAACTTGTGAAATTATAGCAGATTTTCATGTTTTAACCAATGGGATGGATGGATTATACAATGAGCAATTAGCACCTTCTTGCATTCCTGTGCCGTTTGCTTCCCTAGTTCTTACTCGGGCCATTACTTAACATGCATACCGCAAGAATTTCCCATAATACTATGCACTTTTTTTAAGAAAAACATGCGCAGAGCAGGAATGAGAGGAGACTAGAGACGTATTTATTATTATAGCCCATAGCACTACCACTAAAATATTGAATTTTTTTAAATTCATGTGAAATACGCCGTTTGAATTTACACTAACCTACTTTCTGTGCGCACATTTAAAAAAAAAAAAATATATATATATATATATCTTCTTCAACAGGCTGTAGCATTACATTGCGGAGAAGGACAGGGTCGAGCRAGCGTTTTGATGGCATGCTACGCCGTGAAATCATTTGCWCTTCCTGCCGAGGAAGCTATCAAGAAARTACGCCAGGAAAGGCCTGGCGCTGTAGCCACTCAAGAAAGACAGAACAGAGTAAAGGAGTACGAAGACAGTTTGAAGAAATGATATATATGTACAATTTATTGAAACTGTGCATGTCAACACCCATAACGTTCTGCATCCGCCACAGCCGTTCGATGGAAGCCTGAGCTCCATCAATTAAAGAAAACTACAAAGATTAATTTGCTAATGCGTATAAAAGATTTTATTCGTTTTATCTGTGATTAGAAGACTTATTCCAAACATCTTAGGTTTACTATGAATATACAGTATAATTCCCAACCCAAKCCCTCATGGCCTTTATGAAGTCTATACTTTCACACCAACAATCCTCTTCGAGACGCTTCGCGGTTTACTTTTAAGCTGAATCAACAGAGAGAATGAAAGCTAGAGTTATACTTAGAATTATAATGGATGTTTTTAACGCCTGAATGTTGAGAAAAAACTATGATCACTTTTGCAAAACCTTAACGACCGAGTAGGATTGTAGTTATGAAGCATAAAAGTCATTGTAAATTCCGCGGCCTGTTGCACGACTTTTGAGTCTTTGCTTCTATATAAAATGTTCTGTATACAAAGTGAAAAGCTTGTACCACAATAAGCCTACATGTTCGAAGGCCTCGCCTTGAACTGTTAAAATTGGCCTTTTACCTTTTAATCATGTTAAGTGGTCATGTCGCTGACCGCAGACCTATATAAAAATACTCATTTCACTGAAATTATCTACAAGATTCTAGTTGTCGGTCAGCGGACATGTCCACTAAACATCATGCAAARCAGGCTTTGTTCAAGGATGAAGTCTAATGTCGACATTATGGAATTCAGCTTTAGAATATATGTATTGACCTAATTTTACGTCACTACTTGGTTTTCGATGCATTGTGGGATCAGTCTGATCAGTTCCAAGAGAACTACTAAAGAAATTCGCCATGTTCTGTCCCATACATTTCCTACAATGCATTGCGTATACGGTACATGACGTAAAAGCTTCAGAGGTCTATTGGGAAACTTTATTTTAGAGTGAATGAAATTAAATGAATCAAAATGCATACAAATTATTGCAAAACGTGCCTGAGAATAAGCGATTTAGGAACATCGGAATACATCAAAAAGATGAGCAATATAGCTGAGTTTTTGATCTATTCCGAAAATGCTTAAGATCTTTTCCTGAGATAGTATTTTTGCAATTAAGTGTATGTTGTTCTTATAGTACTACTCAAAATCCTTTAGAAATAAACTCCTCAGTTTTTCATCTTCGATCCAATTTACTAAAACCGCCATTCACTATAACAAACGTTTCAAAACGTTATTGGATAGATTGTGAACAAATCGGAATGCCGCTTTCACAACAAAACATTCAAACCATCGCAAAGGCTGTTGGATACAGGTGGGCCTTTAACTACTGGAAAAGCTCTTATAAAGATGTGAAAGCAGCATAAAAACAGTTTTGTTCGGACCCAGCCTGAAAACTGATAACTTTACCGACGGAGTACAAWCAAATATTTCGCAGAATGATATATTCATGATATGAAAAAAAATTAATAATATTCAATAATATTATAACGACTATGGAGTAACTTATCCCAAACGTAAAAGTATATAACATAACCATAGTTGTATTTCTAACATACACGTATACGTACATAACATAATGCGTATGTTATACGTATTAAATTTACCGTACAATAAATCCGCAAACAGACGGTTACGGAATAATCTTGCACGTATGAATATATGCGTATCTTTCGGTTGAGAAAGACAACTGTACAATAGCTGTTACAAAAAAGTAATATTTCCTATGCATCGATTTATATAGTTTTATTGAAAAATCATATTGGTTGAAATAGGTGTATTATAAACGCGTTTGTAAATAATWAAGATATAGATTATTAAATTTATATCTGTTTAAAGCCTTTTGCAAACATTCTGAAAAAGTTAACAATATCTATAATTACCTAAATCATTAATTTACATTACATTAATATTTTGATGAACATATAACAGAATCATTTTGCGATTTCTCCTTCAAAGAGGTTTTTCGTTGCTTTTGCAGTAAAAATACCCATAATGCATCGTTATATGTATACATAGATATTCTTGTCATTTTTCAGAAATTTTTGCAAAAAGCTGTATGTTCATAAAGGTGCAAAACCCCAGTGCCTCATCCCACCTTCCCTTTCCAAAAACGTCCATCAGCGTTAGTCGGTTCTCTCTTTACACAGTTACAAAATTCCTTTCCATTTTCGGCGCAGATTACCTAACCCACGAAGCGGGTACCCATTCRGGTTCTCTTTCAAGTCTGTCGATTACTTTAAGTATTTCGTCAAAAGTTCGTTCGAAGTCCGTATTGACTATCGTATAGTCGAACAAATGCCCGTATGTATCTTCCATTTGGCGAGCGTCTTCGATCARCTTATGTAGGCCATCGTCCTGTAAAAAAACGTACAATGTTTAAAATTAGCTTCCTATTTCTTTACATCCGGTTCCACAACAMACATCTTGCAGTGAGAGGCCTCTAAAGGCCCGTTTACACTGCGATTTTTGAAGGGCGATAGTAGCGCGACCATCGCCTGAGTTTCGAACATGTTTGAAATTTTGCTGCATCTTCACGGCGATTTTCGATTGCCGCAATAATCGCAGAGCTGTTTACACGTACGATTTTAAGTGYAAACGGGGCTTAACGACCTTTTATCGATTCTTTCTTCCTGATCATTATGATATTAATGCAGCATTTTGACAATTTGTCATTGCGAGGGGGATTCTGGGTACTTACCGATAATGTATTTTCGAGACTTGGGTTAAAAGGATCAACTCTTCCCGCCCGTAATCCCTTGATTCTTTCGAAGGACGCAGGAGTTATGAAGATACCATACGGTCTGATATCTGATGCTCGTAGGATTTTGAACGACTAAATGGAGATAATGCAATCAAAATTTCGATCAATCGATCATTTAATCACTCACTCTTTACAATCAATCACTAAAATCAATCGATCGTTCAGTCAGTCAACCAATCAATCAAATCATATCAATTGTTCAGACAGGGAGTCAGCTGTCAATCAAAGTAACCGACCAATCAACAAAGCCGAACCAACCATCCAATCCATCAGTCTTCATAAATCAGTCAATCAAATAAACCGACCAATCAATCAATAAATTAATACACCAATCAATGAATGAATGAATGAATCAATCAATCACTCAGTCATTCAGTCAATCAATCACCCAAAAGAGAAAGATTTTTGGAGCAATTTCCGAATTGAAAAAGTACATTAATATCATTTTCCAACTGAAACTCACCTCACAACTACAATTCAAGACACATATTCGTCCRGTATTGATAACCGTCTTGATAGAATCAAAACTAATTCCAAAGTAATGTCCATAAACTTCACCATGTTCAACATACTTATTCGCCACGATATCTGACTCGAATGTCCGTCGAGTTACAAAGTAATAATCRCGACCATTTACTTCATCCGTTTCTTTGGGTTTGCTAGTATCTGAAGAGTAAAGTAGAGCCGGTGTACACTAGATCATTTGATAAGCTTATACTAAAATTCTGAGGACGTACAGCTGTTTGGCGTCCCATTTTTCCTTTTAATTCACATGGCTCCCTTACATCACAGGCAGCCCAACCCTTTCACGCTTAATTTTTTGGCATCACTCTATCTATAGATGTATTCACTGGAAAAAATCGCGCGCTTTAAAGGTTGTAAATTTGATGTAAATATGATGTAATTGTCCAAAATTCTGTAAATTTGATGGAAATCATTTTTATCAAATTTACATGATTTTGGACACTTATTTACATCAAATTTACAACCTTTAAAGCGCACGATTTTTTCCAGTGTATTGTGATTTCATTTTAGTCCAGTTTCGAATTCCCTTTTGTTCAAGCTTAGCTTCAATCAAGCATAAATTGTTTTCTTTCTACACAGTGTGTTTGCATTACAATAGGATCTCCGCTGAATAAAAAAATATATTACATGCTTTCGAGTCTAAGGCTGCACAAATAAGATCTCGAAACTGGAGTATAATTCATAAAGTCTTCATAGATTTAATGATGACTATAGATAAAATAATTGTAAACAGAACAAGTGCGTGCTTTCTTTGCTTGCTTTGCAGAGGACACGCTTTGYGGATTACCTGTGGTACTACAGCACTATAATCATTGTCAAAATCTACGCGTATGCGAAATTGCTACGGAAAGCATGCGTTTTACGTAACCCTGAGYAATAAAATCAACGACTTACGTGCAACAGCTGGAACAAAACGGTCAGGATCGAATTGAAGAAGTCTTTTTCTMAGTTCCTTTCTTCCGATTTTTTCCGGCCCTAAAATTCACACACAAACATCAAATGAATTCCATATGCTTGTAATAGCAGCAAATTGGAAGGCAATGATAAGCGTTTACCATACCTACGAGTACAATTGGACGCTTGCGTGACGCACTGGGTTGAAGTAACGCTACTTCTTCATACGTTAGTGTTTGGTCCTCAAGATCTGAAATGACACAGATACGATAAACATCGTAAAATTACCTTTCGGTATAGGAAATAGAGGATATTACATGAGGGCGCGGAGATACGGATTTCACTTCGAGGGTGAAAAGATCTCACGAGTTAGCGTAGCGCCTTCGAAAGTAGAAAAATCTGTGTTTGCGCATAACATAAATGGAAACATGATACAAGACTTTTTCCTAATGCCAATTTTTCTGAATGCGTTTTTTATTAGTTCAATTCCATTCAGTTATCCGACAAAACTCCATTAGCTTCTCTTCCTTTAAATTCTGCATGGATCCGCCCTAAACTTGTTAAGGTGACGATGGTTAAACTTTGCATACCGTCATTTTGCTTTGCGTTGTACAAAACCTTCTTCCGTCTCTTCTTCTTCATACAAAGGCATTTTCTTTCTGTAAGAAAGCAATAAACATGCGTTTTTACAAGAAGATAACRTGGAAGATTATCTCAAAACGTACAGTTCCTACTTACTGTCTTTTGAAGTGGGTTCTTTTTCTGTTGGTAGTGTGTGCTTCAACGATTCTCTCCTAGCAGGGAAAGTGGATGTTATAGATAGTTCGTTGAATTTTGAAGTAATGATACATGTATTAGCTTGCGTTTTTTCTCTAATTAGGTCCGAACCAAAATAATATTAAGACACGAGGCAGGGACTGTGACTACGTAGTATAGAAATTGAACTAAGGATTACTTACTGTTGCTGGAATGTCTTCGAAGGAATCAAACCTGCTAGTTTTTTCCCTTCATCGCCAGCTCTCCACGCCTGTGAAAAGAAATTAAGAAAAAAAACTAAATGGAAGTGCCATAAAATAATCTCTCATAATGAAAGTTTTTTTCAGGCATGCAAATAAAAAGGTCGGATACATTCTTTTAAAACGCATGCTAAGTTATAGGCAGGTGTTGCGTATAAATTAGTCCCTTACAATTTAGTAACAAACTGTTCATAAATAGTAAGATCTAGTATATATCTTAAAGAGTACGTTTAGCGGTTCTTGGGGAGAAGGAAGGAGAGACGGGGAGGACCTACCAGTACCTTCACTTGATATCAATGGGTCTAAGAAAATAGTGAAAGGCGCTATCCATCATATAAATCCTTATCGGAGGATAAAGTGGAGTGGATAACGTGTGTATAAGAAGTACAGTACTTACTTGCCACCAGTTAGGATCGTCCTGATTCACAATATGAAGAATACAGCCTTTTCTAAAAGCTAAACCCAGTTCCCTACAGGGTATCAGTTCATCGTGTTCAGGGTCGTAATCAAAATGTGCCTTGACGTGCACCGCATGTTGCTGTCGACTAAGAGATCCGATCACTCTATTGTTGGGTATGACTAAAAACGTTAGAGTTCCATTCATGTCTTCTAAAAGCTCGCACACTTGCGCAACACTTCGTCCTTTCATGTTTACGCCATTGATCTCTAAGATTTCGTCTCCTTCGTGAAGGAGTCCTATAGAACGGAAAAGTAAAGAGATAAGAATGAATTACGATGAAAATGTTACATGTTCCTGTCGGTTTAGAGAAACAAAATGGATGAAAGGAAGTTCATGTAATGGAGCAAGTCGTTTCGTTTCGGAATACGATTGGTTGTCAGCGTGTATCTACCTGTCTCAGTCATTCCTTACCACTTTTCTCCGCAGCACCACCCTTGACAATCCGACCAATAACCACAGAACCGTCCTCATTCTTAACTGTAGCCCCCAAAGGATCGGACGATTTATCGATTCGGACAATCTTTACTGTATCATCTTCAACTTGAGAGATTTGATCGTCTAGACTGTGTTGTTGATCTTCATCTTCTGTTTCTCTGTCATAGTCGTCGTCTTCATCTGGCAGCGCTTCTCTGAACGCCATCCGGTCATGCGCAAATAGCAAGCTCTAAGTADAAAAATTTACTTTATCAACAAACGAAAAGACCGGGAAAGGAAAAGACACTGCTACTAAGAGAGCTAAAAGCCGGCCCGAAATGAAGTTACCATGATGTCACAAGCAAGTGGCCTATCCTTRATAGATTCGGACAAACACAGAGCACCAAGTAGTACCAATATACATCAAGTTATACCTGGAAATTGGGCGAGTAAATCAAATCTTCTAACTCTCTCTCGTCTTGAGTTCTTGAGCTGTTGGAAAGTGACGTTGAAACCTACAATGCACAGAATGATATAAAACAAGCATTTTATAAGTTCAAATGATAGTCGTGTCCCAGCAAGAAACATTAAGAAAAATAGCTTCGATGCGGCTTTATCATAAAATTGATTTTTTGTAAGCATATTGACCTATTCAGACTTCACGACTGACATAGGCTTAGCTTCTTTAAGTTAAAGTATTGCATAAAAAATATATTACTAAAACTCCAATGCCACGTCATTTCAAATGTGTTAAAGGCTAAAGCCAATATTTTTTCAGGTGAAATGCAGAAGGCTCATACCTGCGTTATAAGGTCATGTGATCTTGTTGTTACTGGTCTAGAAAATCCTGGTCCCTTTTTTTCCTGTTTTAATTCTGTTATCGTGTTATAGATCTGCGGCAAGAAATCATATAAATTCATTATTCAACATGCACACTGGTAATTTTAAAACTAWGATCAGACTTTTAATGTTACCTTTGTAGCGCTCTGAACATCTTTACTAGCTAAATATTCCTCTAAATAAACAATTTTTTCTTGCTCGTTTCGCCCATTCAATTTTGGTTTCAGAGTTTCAAGAGAATTCGGTGAAATGCGATCTGTTTTCGGYGAAGGTGCAGATTCAACAGTGTGAACATTCACCATCGGGGAAACTGGTTGGGGTTCATATGGAACTGAAACAAAAACATCGAAAATGTAACGAAAATAAGGAATTTAAAAAAGTAAATACAAGTCAAATAAAGTTTTTTTGCAAGTTTTTTGAAGAATTGATCTTGCGACAAGCTAAATTCGCGCGCTTTTCCGGGAAWGCCGCGGGCGCGTTTGCACTTTGACCTGTCACGCAAGGCTCTGTCACCCGACATGCGTACATACAAAATGGCGGCTGGCAATGGCAGTGATTTTTCTTGTTTTAACACGGTAAGTAKGAATGTATTTGCCACATGYTTTMTATTTAAAATAATTCTTCATTTAAAATCATTAATTYTGCTCAAAACAAGTGTTTCAAAGTCTCAAAAATCATTTTTATAACTGAAACAGAGCTAATCAAAAAGCGGGTTTTTATGTAGACATTTCCTTCAAAAATAGGGTTTTTAAAAAACCTTTAAAAGCTCAGGAAGTCTAAAGAATATAAAAAGGTAGTTCTTTCAAATGTACCGATTAGAGATTGACATTCCTTGAAAAAGTGTTTGAGAGTTTGGCCCTGTCAGATKTCTACTTGACAGACGCGACGTGACAGGGCAGATAAATCGCCAAAAATTCTTGTCATAACAAACTTTATAAACCTTTCAGGCTTTTTCAGAGCTACTTTACTCGCGTAAGACATTAATGAGTAACTTTTCACTGACAATTTTATCAGCACCGGCATTATGCCACCTCAAACTCAACCCCTCCTCCCTCCCCCCACCCCCCCAAAAAAAAATAGGAAAAAAACACTAAATAGCTGTAAGCATTCAACACTTTTTAAGAAAATTTCAGTAGAAAGTCTTGGAAAGTCAGGCTACTTACCAGGAGTACTTGCATTGCTATCTGTATCAAAAGCCTCATTTTGTTGACTCAATACTCCTTGATCACTTGAATCAATCTCATCTAACTGCCTCAAATCCAGAACAGCATTTGACCAGGATTTGTGCTTCATTAAATTGGACTGAGAGTCACTATTTTCAAAGTCATTATTGTTCAATTTCAARTTTCCATTACTCCAATTGTGCCTCATGTTAGAGGGACTTTCTRGATAAGTATMAGAGTTCACRCTATTTGTTTCMRCATCTGAATTGTATGCTGGGAATTGAGGATCACTTTCTTGATCTTTTATTATAGTATTCAGCTTATTTTGAGTGACAGAGTCAACTTTATCTTCTTGGTTATTGGTTGGGTCATCATAAAATGTTGAAAAACCACCTTGAATAAATAGAACATAAGCAAAGTGAATATAAACAAAAAATTCAGTGTAAAGTATCACAATCAAGACTATAATGTACAAACCTTGAACATTATCACCACCTCTAAGAACCTTTAAYGCTATTACTCTAGTCTTGAGACACTAATATTGAATGAAATTACATGTCAAATTTATAGACATTTGATTTAAGAGTCCTAGCACAACATGCAGATTATGATATGTTATTCTACCTTATGAATAGATGAAATTACTTCCATATGAGAAAAATTCAGAAGTGGTACTCCATTCACTTCCAGTAATTCATCTCCAATTTGAAGATTTGCTCTTTCAGCTGGAGAACCTATACATAACATAAGATTATCATGAATCCAATCAGATTCCATGCTAAGAAAGGAAATGCAGCACTAGTGCCTAATGAATAGCCTCCTCCACTGACGACTCACTTCCTTTACACTCTTTTTTCTATTTTTGGGCTTCCTGTCTTCCTTGTGATGACTAGAGCCTCTGGTTTGCCAAGAGGATACCAGAGGGATCCCAAGTGTTGTCTGTGAAGGAGGCTACCATTGCCAGATTTCAAGCYGAGTGGGGACTGGGCAAAATCCCCTAATTGGATTATCATGACATAAGACTTACATAGAAAGAAAGCCCTTGTTGGGAAATGCAAAATTCCAAAATCTGGCGTCAATCAGTTCAATAGTGAATGAGTTACGGCCTTTCAAATATTCTAAAATTTCCAAAGAAATGTATGGGAAGCCGTGAATGTGTCCGCATTTTGACCATTTTCCGGACACATTCGCGAGATCACATACATTTCTTTGGAAATTTTAGAATGTTTAAAAGGCTGTAACTCGTTCAATATTGAACTGATTTACATCAAATTTTAGAACTTTGCGTTTCTCAACAAGGGCTTTCTTTTTATGTAAGTCTTATGTCATGACTATCCAATTAGGGGATTTTGACCAGTCCTCACTCGGCTTGAAATCCGKCAATATGAGCAGTTACGTGACTAAAGTTAGCAGAYWTTGAAAATAACCAGATCAAACAATATTCAGAGAGAAGGCAAAGGAAAAATGAATGGGGGATTGAATAACTAAATAAAAGAAAAAATGGATTATGTAAGTAAACGCATGAGGTTTCCCATGCAGGATTTAGAAAATTAAGCATAAAATACTTCAAATATAACCTAATTGATGAAGTTTTGTAGTATTTAAATTGATGGTCAAAATGAATGGGATTGAACAGAAGATTAGATGAACAGATAAATGAATGGTTTTAACCATTCATTTATTCATTTAAAAATATAAGCCTAATGTACACTTCCTTGCACCAAAATGGCAGATTCAAAAACTACCACTTTGCTAAAACGTGTTCTAAAATGCATCATCAACTCAATTGACAATAAACATCAAACGTTAATGAAAAAAGGAAAAACAAAATTAGTGAACCAGAAATGCATTCAAGTGTTACCTTTAATAATATTATCAATTCTTGGAGGAAATCCCTCATCAATTCCACCCATTACTGAAAATCCAAATCTCTTCTCTTCTCCAATAATCCGTACATTGACTGAGAACTCATATGGTTGGCTAGAGATCTGAAAATGATTTTATAGATCAGTTTTAAGAGTACACTGTTAAAACTTTATTAATTTATTTTGATTTCGACCCTTGTAATGTAAGGAAGCATTTTTGGAGTAGTATTTTTCAAATCCAACTAGGATTCAGTTAAATATATGGCTAGGAGTAATAAATTGTCATTTTTAAAGYACATTCCTGGCTGATCTATGCAAAAATAACTAGCAGTGAATGTAGCTAGAGTAAGAATTCATGACAGTCTTCAACAGGTTAGATTTCCAGTAAATGCATCCAAAAATATTCACTTTGTTTTCAACAAAATAAATTTTCTCGGGCGTGTTTGAAATAGCTGTGAGTATTGAAATAGCTTAAAAAAAATTATCATTCAATAATTATTGTAAATTAAAAGATTGACATACATATGAGTCATTTCCATATCCATTCATCCCATTCGATAAGCTTCCATTCATTTGTGGTTCATCTGCCGTTATGTCCTCAATGGATCCACCTCCATACATAGCTGATAAACTGCTTCTATTGTGCTCAAGTCCAGAGGTTCCATGCATTCCTCCATTTTTCTACACAAAGACAAGAAGAGATAATGTAACAAACAACAGTTGCCAAACAACAATTACATATTGTAACATGTAGCAAACAACAGYTGCCAAACAACAATTACATATTGTAACATCAATTCTTTGCTTTTAACACAGCATTACACCACACCATAACATGTATATCAAATAACAATTCAATGACAGACAATAAATTATAATAGAGTTTGTAATCACACCAGGGCACATACAGAATGCTTTATTTAAAATAAAAACTAAAAACTTTGAAAAGTACTTTATTGATACAAATTGATGGAGAAAAGCAATAACCACTGAACCCTATCTCACCTACATAACAGTTATCCTTAAAATGCTAGAAATTTAAAGATAACCCCATATCTAACCTTGGCACAAACAACAGGATACATTTATATCAGATAAATTGTTTCCAAGTAAAATTTGGTATTTTTCAAAAGCATAAAATGAAGCACATTGTAAAGCAAATTTAACTACATGCTAACTATTAAATAGTAACTTATATACTGCTCAAGAAGTTCAGTTTATCACTTTGTCCCCGAACAAGATTGATTTACTACTAACAACAGACCATARCATAGCCTTGTTTATATTAATGATAATGAGAATAACATAACTTTCGCAAAGCTTTAATTATTGTTTATGCCACTGGCTGTGCTAATTTGTAACACTAATTGCCCTTCAAATGATGACAATAGTTTGAATGACCCTCAAAGGAATTAGGTAATAAATTAACACAGAAAAATGAATCCAATCAATTTGATGTGTCTTTTTTAGATACCATAGTCTCTTGTCATAAACATAGTTTCAGCCAAATATTAGGAAGACATACGGTGGTCTGTACTATAGAGGTTATATAGAAGGTCTGGCATTATAAATTGTTGAGTGGACCACACAGAAAGGTTTCATAATCAGAAATTCCAGTTTAACTCTTTCCTGGAAGAATTAATCTGGTACATTCCTGATACATTTTGTCATTTGTATTGCAATAGATACAACAAGAAGGAATGTTTGTTTGGTGTATATAAACACAGAGAAATGGATTGAAAAAAGAGCTATGGCCAATTTTTTTAGGGGTTTTAATTATAAGTATAATCAAAAAAGTGATAATTCAATCAACCTCCTCAAATTCATGGATTATCATTGTATGAATTCAGASCATATGAATTTGAGGAAGTCTGGAGGTTGATTTACACTAATCAGAAGGAAATTATGTAACCAGTACCTTGACAGCAATAATTCCATCTGTGTTTCGATGCAGCCTGGAGACGTCAAGCTTGGGGCCATTATAMTGAGACATGTTGTTGACAATACAGCCCAAAAAATACAAAGTGCTAATAACCTGAAAATGATGCATAATATAAGTATAAATAATGATAGAAGTAAACGCTGATTAAATACATTAATAATTAACAGATCGTGGAATAATTATTGATAAGAAGCCTGTTGTGATTATTTTCTGAATATAAAAAAGACACTTTTATTATTACACACTTGTTCTTATCAAAATATTAACATGAGTATTGTATAATGTTTAAAATATGAATGATTTTTAGAAAAACTGCTATAAAAGTTCCATATACTATACTGAATATCACATAATATAATAATTGTTTACAAAATAATTTTAGAAGTTTTCAATTAAAGTTGTGTCTCATCATTATTATCATCATCATCCTGGTATAATCTTCAATTATGTGCATGTATACTTATTTTATTATTATAAATTACTATAAAATGACTATACCTTTTGGGTTACATCATCTTTAGATGGTGATCTATAATTAATCAATATCAATTAATCAGTAATGTAGAACCATACAACTCAAGAACAATTGATTGTTTTTTGATTAATATAAAGGTACATCATTATTCGCAGTTTTTGCACTTGCATCTACATCTGCATCTTGAACAGTTTGGCGGATCCAGGGGTAGAAAACAGGGTCAGCTGATATTTATTTAACTTAAATAAGACAAATTTTCTAATCTTTTTTCAAACAAACATCACGTGTACATTAAATGCAAAGAAGTGTGAAAAGGGAAGAGACCTGGAAATGAACCTCATAACGACTGCGAGCGGAGGCTAGAAATTTGGACCTCATTTTGAAAAATCCTAGATTTTCCACTGATGAATATGTGTATAATGTTGAATGTTTTATTCAAAGTGTACTTACATTGAATTTTGGTTGTTAGACTTTTTAACTTCCTCAGGATCAAACAATTGCCATTCACATAAACCAAAGTTATCACATGCGTGTAGGAATTTTTTAAGGTTTTCCTGGAATTGTAACAGTATAATAATTTCAGAAACTAAATAATAAATTAATTTGATAAAAATTCTACATGACATGTACAACTGCGTTGATTCTATTGTATGTTTAGGAGATGTGTTGAGGATATTACATGGGAGCGGAGATACAGATTTTATCTTTGAGTGTTGAAAAGATCTCTTACTCAATAACTTGTTATTTCCATGTTACTTTTCGAAGCTGAGAAATTAGGTAATATTTAATTTATAGATAATTATATGATAAAGTCAATATTACCATCTAAAATATTGTACGTTTATGGGTTTTACATTCAGTTAAAAAGTTACATGTAAACCATGTTTACGAACACAAAATGAAATTTTTTTCAGAACCAAGCATATGGGCAACATATTTAGATCAAAGTTTTGACGAAACACAATTTCAATGAGTCTCTTATCAACAAAAAAACAAATTTTAAAAAAAAGTATGAACCAAATAGTGCAATATAGTGTAGATTAGACAATAGAAAACAAATATGCATATTAGCACAATTCAATTCCTGAAGTCAATTTTCATGGTTTTAGTGTTGGGACTCAAGGATAATAAAACAAGCTCCAGTTAAAGTTATAAGCTCATGAAGTGATTAAGTGCTACAGTAAATAATTTAATATTGCATGTACAATGTATGTACTTTCTTTGGAATTAGTCTGGAGTGTAATCAATTTTATGGACATCATTAACGTTAATCTAATCATTTTTTAAAACCACTTACAAGTATCTAGAATGAAAACAATGACAACCATTTTAATAAATGCCTCGTCTTATAATAATTTGCACAATGCAGTGACGTCCGTATACAGGTGCTTTTCAAGAACTATATTCATGATATTGCATGTCCTGACATTTCACTGATAAAAATATATATATATAAATACATTTATTCTAGAAATGTATGGTCATGTTTAAGCCCTCATTGAAGGTACTTCTGCGTAATTGTTCAATGCAGGAAGCGCAAAGATTTTTAATGCTACTCGAGGCAAAATTTCATTTTTCTAATACATAAAGATAACAATCACTTTAACTTTAGGCAGCAAGTAGACAAAACAATTATTGAACAAGCAAATCACTATATATTTGACCATTCATATCACTGCAATGTCAGTCTTTGATAGCCTTTGAATAAATAAAGGTGACATTTATAACAAAATATGGAATCGAATTACCCTAAAAACACTTAAACTGTACATTTTTGATATAATTTTTCAATTACTTTTGGAMCATAAAGTTGGACGTAAAAACCCTCTCACTATACACAGTGAGAGAGCATTGCATTGATACGAAGGGAATTTCTATTAGTCCTAAGTAAATAAAGAATCTAATAAAATTTAACAGATTCTCAGTGGATCATCAGCCATTCAAGGTAATTTATGCACAAAATCTATGTCAATAGAGAATTTTGATAAGTTTAGAGAAAAGTTTTAATTAAAAATGACAGCTTTTGCAGGATTATCAAAAATCACATCGAATATTTTAAGTGAGGCAGTTAGTATACTCTTCTTAAATAAAGAAATGCTTCCCAAGCTCCCTTACAAGTAACCAATAACTTCTTATGTTCACAGAAGAAATGCATGATTTGACCAAAGTACAATGAACAATGTTAGGAAATATTAGTATGAATTCAAAATCATTAAAAACAGCACATGCACACAAATATTTTTAATGAAAATACCAGAATTTGGTAAACTTAGAGTTATATAATTTATGCATGTATATTATAATAAATTCGTCCTCAAAAGTTTATAGTAAATTTTAAGACAATGGATATACGGGAAAACTTTGGATCTAGTATTTTTAGAGTTCATGCGGATGGAAGCTAGTTAGATATAAAAATATGGAGAATTATTAGGAATCAGCTACGACTATAATGCAGAAATGAACAAATTGTTKTCGATTTCCTTGACGATTTGAGATAAATATACGACGGCGATATATCGCTAGTAATTAAACTCAAATAACAACCTACCGCCATGAAATAACCGTASAAAGAAGCCCTTATCCCATTTTAAACCGAAAAGATATCACTTTTAGCGAAATATAAAGCGCGAGTTTAGAAAACATGTAAAGCATCGAACGTAAACAAATGGCGTAATGGCGAACAATAGTCGAGTTTCCGGCCCATAACAGTTATCCATAACTCATTTTTCTAAAGAATATAGAGCCTGATGAACATTGGGAAACTTTTCAGAACATCCATGAAAGCAATTCGTCATATATTGGTTACACAATTGAAATACATGGCCTTGAACGATAATATTATACAGAAGATATGAAGCAGAAAACGTTTAGAATGCAGATTAAACAAACGAAAATTTTACGAGAGAATTCGAATAAATTGTTTATTTCTTCAATCAGACTGAAAGCTGAAAGTTTTAKGCATTACCAGGGAATTATAAGATCACTTATTCTTGTCAGAAATTCAAAAAATTCCTTGTAAGCTTCGCATAACTTCAGTTTTGTTGTAGTTGATCTAAAAATACACTACAATACGAGGTAAAGAACTTCATCTGAACACAGAATCACCTTTGTGGTACAGACAACGATTGATCGTCTTGTCTGCGTAGTTTTTGCGTAAACGCAAATAAATTAAACTCGGCCGATTCGAAACCGTCTGAAGAGACAAACTTACCTGGGATTCGTCTTCATTAGGGTTTTCTACAACATCGCGAATTCGATTAGGCTCAATACGATTGACCAATCTATGAAACAAATGTTAGGTTTATACACATATCTTTTAAATCCATAACTTTATAACACATTTATGCGATGGCTACTAACCTACAAAGTGCAACACCATCATAAATAGAATCAATAAATGAAGAGACGAATGTGCCTCCACTGGCTGCCTAGAGATACGAGACGATGTGTTAGTGGAACGCCTTGCATTTCACGAATACGTCATCGTTGGGTTCAGAAACTTGTAAGATGATACCAAATATCGCAGGACTCACCTCTATCCAGTTCTGGACAATCTGCTGAGCGGTGTCGGTGCTCGCTTTCAAGCTTGTTTCTCTTGTCGTCAAAGTCGATCTCGATCTGACGGGTTCTTGTATAGCGGTGATTGCGTCGTTACGAACCATATTAATAGATTCGCGCTCACATAACTGGCATATTTTAAAATTTGCTCAACAAATCCGTATGTAAAGAAACGCTGATCGGGTCACTCGCTACTCAAATCGTGACACAGTCGCTGTAGAAATCAAGGCCGCTGCCTCTATTCACTGTATTGAATCAAAATCATTGGAATATAAAGGCACCTAGAATCTTGACGAGGCGCCGTTGTTGTCATTTGTGGAATGTGGCTGATGACGCGGTGATTGGCTGAAAATCACAATATGCTAACCATTTTCAAAAGACTAAGTCTTTCTTGTTTATCTTGTCATACTGAGACCTTTCTCTGAGCTTTTGTCACACAATTGCTTTACAAATTGTCAACAATTGTTGTGTCAAAATTGTAAAASTTCAAACCCCTCTTGCATGCAATCATATTTCGAAATGAGAAATATGACAGTCCCACGTGATTGTCAATTTTGTTAGTGAAAAAGTAATTCATGAGCCCTCAAGCTGTTTCAAAAACCGAAAAAAACGTTTTTTGGGGGCCCAATGATTTGCTTTCCTCCAAATTGAAACAGATGTTTCAATTCTCTTTTGATCAGAAAGGTTTTGTWATAAGTTATTTTAAATGAATCCTTTCCCTTTTTCTCTTCAATACTATCCGTAAAGTTCTCAGGACAGGAGGGTGACTCGCGGCGCAAATCAATACAATAAAGAAGCGATATGTTTTTTCCTTGTTTATTTTCTATTTTTTAATGCTTTATAATGCTGTTTTCTTTTTRATCCAAGCAACGCGATCAACGCGTGCGTAGCCTCCCTATGACATATAGCCAATCAGCTTCAAACATTAACTGTTGAATCCTGGCTCTTGACTGTGAGCACGGCGGTGCGCCTGCGACTCGAAATAACGGTGAAGTAACTATGATTTCTATCATGACCCACGCAATGGTCAGGAAGGAAGAAAATTTTATTTAAAAAAATAATTAAGTCTTCGCTCAGTGCCAACGTGATTAAAATTGTAGTTTTCGCGACTTGTCAGTTGCGCACTATAAACAGGTCTGAGAAAAAAAAGTCATCAACTCTATTGATGTATGTAAACTAGAGTTTTCAGGGCAGTTAAGGTGTTATGTAACCCAAGCACCCACTTATCACTACATATCTTATCCGCATGTATACGCTTTAGTTTATCGAACCTAACCTCGAGCGGCTCTATAGGGGAGGGTGTAGCTCCTCCACCCAAGCCCTCCCTTAGGGCCGCTACTCAGCATATACCGAATCCAAAGATAAGGGAGGGTGGAGTAGGGGGGAAACAAGGCTCCCTCACCTGGAGCCTGAACCCAAAGAGATCCCACAACCTACATGCTTGATCCCCAAACTTCTAAGTTTATTTATAAGTCTCTTTATTCATTTTATATATTCAATCTACACGTTCCTCCAAAATTTGACTAAATAAGTTGTTCCGATGTATCAACAGGCTGTCCTGCTTGGACCTCCAGGATCAAGTCTCTATTCACAACACCAGTACAACATCGAAACCCATGCCGAGGATGAGGAAGGTAAGAGACAATTTTCCATTTCATATTTGCTGGGTCATAGCATTCTACGGAGTCTACGACYACGTTTCCGTAGGATCCTCCGAAGACGTARATTTTCCTTCCGTATGCCGCTGCATCGGCACGATCACGTCKGACATTCATGTCTRCAATGGAAGTAAAGACRTTATYGTAATCATAAGAACATGCTCCKGGACTCACGCAAAGGCCAYTGTGAGCATAAAAACGTTATGGACTAACAAATGCATAAACGAATGGCAACATAATATGAATTTTTAAAGCAAAGAATTGCAGTATTTCTTTTGTTATGAACTACCATAGTATCGTTGACAAACAATCCTACTTCATGGGATTCCTGTGTTTAATGTAAAAATTCTGCCGGAGGGGCTCTTACCTTTAAAGAAAAACCATTTGTCTTGACTGGCATGGTAAACCTCGCAAGTGTTCAATGCCAAACCCTTGTGGGACGCTCCTCCCATGATGTAAATCTTCCCTGCAAACGCGACTGCGCATGCTCCGCTTCGTGGAGTGTTTAGTGCTGCTACGGTATTCCATTGGTCGCTTTCTGGGTCATAACGCTCTACTGTCCTTAGAACTGAATTGGATCGCGATAGACCTGTCAACAATAATTTTATTGTGATTTATATTGTTTTCTTTCCACCACTTTTCTCCGGTGTGAATTTGAGACTTGCATGCGATTCTCGATGGTGCGAGTTTTTTTTTCTTTTTTTTTTTTGTCAGTTGCGATTTAAATTGAGAGCGGCGAGTGCTAAATTATTCAAATGAGCTATAGGATTTGGAAAATTATTTATTCACCAACGCGAAAGTCCTTGTAAACATTTTTTATTATGAGTAAACCTACCACCAATGACGTAAATGCAACCATTAAGCACTGCAGTGCAATGTGTATGACGTATTTGACGAGGCCCGGGTTTGAGAGTCCACGTGTCTGTCCCGTGGTCGTAGCGTTCCATGGCCGAAAGTCCTCCTAGAGAATCTAATCCTCCAATCCCACCAAGGACATACACCTGTCCGTTGACTTCGGCTGCTTCACATTTGAAACGAGCTAACRATGAACAAAAAATAATTCACATTTAGAACAACATACCGCATTAATGATGGTCATGATAGTATAGATGTTGCCTAGATACATTGAAGTTTTGGCTTTATACATGGAATATATATGAAATATTTCACAAATTGCGCATGATTTTGAGTTGTATGCCCTTGACGTCATGTCAACTCAAAATGTCCAAAACTCAAGTGAACGAACGAGAGCGAGTGGGCTCACTGCTAGGTTTTGAACATTTTATGACGTCAAGAGTCTCAATAAGTGGATGAAAAATCCACGTGCAATTTGTATTTTTACCACATTTTGAATCTAAAAATGAGCGAAAATAATCCTTTAAGCTGAGCAGGCGCGCGAGACGTTAGAACAGTAAGCACAGTGTGCATGTCCTCTTATTGGTACACTCTAATCAGTTTGTAGATAAGGTTGATTTCGTCTTCTTTTTTTGTTGTTTTGTTATTTAAATTTGCTTTGTTTGGTTTATTGCTTGTCGGTACGTGACTCAGGGGTAATCGATTTATTAGCAACCGACAAATGATCTATTGCCTGCCGGATGGTTTGTTTGGTTTGTTTATTTTGTGTGGCTTTGCTGTTGCTGAACACTGATTTGACCAGTTGGTGTATAGCAAACTAGTAGAACAATAGAGACGAGCTCGGGCATACTCGGCAGTTGTATGTGGTTTCGTTAAGTTGATAGTCCTTGTTTGTTGTTTGAGCACTCATTAGTTATAATTCCACCCACCTTGGTTCATATTTGCAATTCTTGTCCATGAATTAAACTTTGGGTCAAACTTCTCAGCGTTTGATACAACGTGTAAATTCTCTTTGGCAGAACATCCGCCTACAGCGACAGTCCAATACCCTAGTTGCGCCATACCAAAGTTCAATCTATCATCCCTTACTTTTGCCAGAGAATACCATTTACCAGTCTGGGGATTGTAACAATTWGTGCACTTTCCAGATACTGCGTCTTCCATCATTCCACCTACTATTAGGATTGCTTCCATTAGRTATGTCCTCCATCTTGCGGAAAAAAATAGCAAAAAATATCTATAGATAATCCCTGTATACTTGAAATGAAAAATCGAAATGCATGGGATTTGCGCGACTTACCTTCGTTTTCTTTTATTGTCTAACACATTCTGAGGRACTCGTTTTTCAATGGTTTTCAAATTTAAAGCTTCAGTYACRGAACGCTTTGATTTTTCAGAATTTACCACTAGCGGTTCTCTTTCAACAGTACCCACAAGGTATCTTCTACTAAGACACGCTAAACGAACATTGCCTAGTAGTTTGTCAAACGCATCTTTTCTCCTCTCAAAATCATACCGAATCCAACCAATCAGCGCTTCATAGACCTCTTCCTCTTTGGTGATATTTAAATCGTCGTCCGCGAGAATAATATTCAGCTGGTCAGCAGGTATTCTATGAAATGGTTGAGTGGTAGAAAGTTTTAAAAAATGTTCACAGACRCAACGTTTTGACTTYTGTARAAGTGATCCACAGGAATAATTCARAGCTAAAGMCATCATCTCAATGCAATTCCCAAAATGTAAATGCTTTTCGAGRTATTGTTCACATTCCAGTTTCAATAAATCCATTCCTAAACTAGATGCAGCATGKAGAATAGCCCTYACATTTTCRCCATTGATGCAAATCTCGGATGTATAAATATAGCTTAGTAGRTTCCCCAAGAGACCTTCACAGATTCCGCTTAGAATAGTCTCCCGGGAGTACCTTGCAAGAGCAGTTCCAACGTACAGTTTGTGAAAATAACGACTTGCGGCTGAGAGAACGACACGATGAGCAGCAAATCGTTGAGTTCCATTGTCTGTGGTAATGACAACATCGCACAAGTGTTCGCTTTTTCGTATCTCGTTCAGCTGTCTGAATAGGTTCTGTCGATACAAATCGTGTGAGACAAAATGGTGCTCATAATTACTGGTGTCGTTACTGCTTGCTCGATCCATTGRCTTRGTCATGGTATAGTTTAAGCTTTCGCGGTTGACTTGTTATTCGTGAGCCCATGMACTAATATYAAAAGCAAAGATGTCACGACGCAGACTTGGAGTTCAAGCTGTCATTCGCTAGACAATATATGCACAAAAATGCTAAGAGCCACTTCGCGTTGAGCCTTATCTAAATACATTTGCCAATATAAATCTTAAAAGAGTTGGTGAGTTGCAAGCGTGTTGGTACCACGGCTTTAGGTTATTTCCAAGCCACTGTACGTGCTACTGTCAATAGTATTTCTTTTCTCATGCCCCCCTTTGGTGTTGAGCAGGTGCTTCAATTGTCTTTCTCCACGACTCATTGGCTGTTCAAAGAATACCTCTAAACATTGTCACTCAATACTCCGACTTTGAATAATTTATGTTGTTAATCCGTATTCCTTACTTAAAGAGCGACCCTAATTTTAGTTGTCGGTAACTTCTRTGAGACAAGCTAAATTTCATATAGATAAAGGGAAATTAAAAGGAGTGATTAAAATGCCGCGCTTTCATATGAATATGSCAATTTAATACGATAATTATTGGTGACATGATGGAGTCGCCAAAAYGATTATATAAAAAGATATGAAATAGGTATTAAAAAAGTGCTGATGCTATTACTGCGTCTTCCCAAAAAAGCAAACYTTTCATTCGAKTTYTTTTGCGAGCTGGTTCTYCCARTAGTATTTATGAACATAAAWCTTAACTTATCGATGTGCTAAACTGTCACTAAAGAACACTTATCGACTATTTGCATAACTAAAAAAATTGTCAATAACTGAAGAGAGTGTATCGTATGTAACGCAAGTGATGCTATTCCTTAAATGGCAGTTAACAGAAGTGTTACTTTGTATCGTATTGATTGTTTGATGCAATAGTCAACTGTCTGATTGCTTATTGCAGTCGCCTGCTGGGGGCATAATATTCTGTCTATTCTTGATCTAAGTATGTTATGAAAGACGGGTTACATGTTACTTGTCATGGATGTTGTTGGTTCGTACATTAAGTACGGTTCAAAGCGACTTTGACTTGAAAATGGACCTGTTCTCAATTTTTGTCAGTATTACGCGGTTCTCTCCTCTCCTTCTATGAGCGAATAACTAGCGAATGCTCTCCACACACACTGTTTAACAATATTTTCAACTAATATTACTGAAAAAMGAATGGAATATGCTATAATTCTTGTCCCTTTTTCAAGTCGCTCAGTAATGAAGTGGCTCTCCTTAAACTTTGATTATAAAGTTGACAAGCCTTCAAATTCAAATCTTCAACTCGTTATACGTGCATGTAYTATCAGCTTTAAACTGATTTTTAATGTCATAACTTCATTATTTAAAAAGCACTGATTAATCGTGTTATCAAAAAAAAAGAGACTGACGTCACTTTGTATTTTGTGACGAGAAGCCGCCGTCTTTTGAGAGTGCGGCTCAGCTTAATAGCAGATAGGTTTTTAGTTATTTTCAAATCAAAGTTCCTCATGCCTTTTTTTTCCTTCAATGAAAATCAATCGTGCTCTAGCTGTTTTAAATCACAACTTTGTTGTTTGAGTAGTTTAGTCATATGTTTTTTCGTGAAGATATTATATATATATAAATTCAAAGTAACAAAAAGACGATTTSCTCTGGTACTCCAATTACTGCTCGTTTTCAATTGGTAAATTCAGTTTAACAGGTGGATGTTTCCTACCAGAAATATGTGCCACTTTAGATGAAAACACCCGTAAGACACATTAACAGGGAAAACCACTACAGTAACACGTGGATTTATGAGATATTTTTTGACACTGGTTTCGATTTTGGACCCGTGAAAGCTGAAACTGTTTTGATTTATCACCAAGCAAAGACCTCTGCTCCTTAGTCGAGAATGGATGTCGGTAACTTGAATGCCTTTCAATTCACCAGCTTTGCCGTGGTGTCRTTRCTGCTTCTTATTTTATTTAATCATTTGATCAGTCTTTTACTTTTGAATGGTACATCAGCGTTTACGGGAACTCTACTGGCTATGATGTTATTGATAATTCTTTGTTTTTATTGGCATAAGTATCTAAAAAAGTCTCCAACCGCTCAACGGCCAAATCTTGACCGTGAATTTCTTATGAACGCGTTACGGTCGGTAGAAACGTCAAAAATACCTTACGTAGTGGATCGTTTCCTTGAGCTCGATAGAGAAGGCGAGATAAACAAAGCACAGCAAGATAATRTCGGTGCAATTCCCGTAGAAAGACGCTGTGTAGTGTGTCTTCATTCTGAGGCTTGTATAAGAACTCTACCGTGTGCTCATAGAGTGGTATGTGGCTGGTGCGCTTGGCAGTCGCTGAAGATTTCTTTTGAAAATGGCGCTCCACATCGCTGTGTCATCTGTAGAACTGAAATTGAGGACTTCACTGGCAGTCTCATCAAAAATCTCATGAATATCAAATGGAAAGACGTTAGAAAAATTGTGGATGAGATTGAAAGAAAATAGGAATGGGTGCAACTRCAAGAGGACATATTCAAGAGAGGCTTGAGGAATGGAAAAGAACGTGCAGGAGTTGTGTGTATTTTGTTGACACATAACTCCATATTGTGATATCAAGTCATGTTAATAATGTTGAGATTACAGTCCATGCGAAAGTGAAACATGGCATTGATTTTGCCAATGAAGTATCATGGGAAAAAAAGAGTAAAATACCTGGAGACTGGTATCTAGTGGTCACTTTACCTTGATGGAGATGCATAGGACATGAATGGAGGTGTCTGCGGCAAATGGAGCCAGGAGATCAGCTTGTTATATCCAATCAGAACATAACATCTGCTCACTACAGGGGACTACAAAGACGCTATTTGATGGACAGTGAGTCAGTCAGAGGCCTCAATTTTTGGCCGTCAATATTATGAAAGAGACCACCAACGACAACAAAAACAAAATGATTTCAAAATTGACTTTTTTTATTTACAATTAAAGTGGTATATATCAATAAATCGTTAAAATTATANATAATATTTACAATTTTTTACATATAATAGAAATCTAACTATATTTTTAGTTTGGTCGATATTGCTACGGACGACCACTTGGCGCTGGCCTTAATTTGATTGTCTTCTGTGCGTATTGTACAGAGCTTTTTTAATCCTTACAAGAAGGCACCTCATTTGCAGTGAACACGTTCGTCCTTTTAGCATATTGGACTGAATCTTGTCCGTTTCTTATGTGGCCTAGGTACTCCACAAATAGCTCAAACTCTTTGCATTCTGACTGCCAAGATGGCCGACCTAACACACCCTATCGTGGCCTCAATGATTACTGTGTGGTACAGGGACCACACATATGTTGAGGAATGCTAAGTACTGCAGTGTACTGCAACGCAATGTAACATTCAGAGAAGGAATCTAAGAGTGTGGATCCACAATAATAATAATAATCAATATAGAATGGTTCTATGCATGCAATATTATTAACTCGCATTTGTTTATATTATTGCTAGTTATTGCACTATGTTTGTTGTCGATAGTGCTGTACTAGTTCGAGTGGTTTGATGCGATGGTGACTGATTCGATTCTCTCCCACATCGCAGCACAGAAAATATGATTTTACCAAACTCCATTCTGAATTCACGCATGCGCCATGCGTATAACATTGGATTTATGACGGAATTGCTGTACAAGAGAATTCGTACCCAGAATGTGGCCAGTTCACTTGCAAGTGTGGATGGGTTGGCATAGTGGTAGAGAATCATGATGATACGTGGATAAACCAACAGAATTAACGCACCAATCACGATTCCGATGGTCTTCGTTGTTTTGTAATCTCGATGCTGGTCTTTCCTCATAGCGTTATTATCCGATTGGGGAACTTTCGGACGATCATCGGAATCCGAATAAAAAGGCAAAGCCTTATTGTTGTTTGTCTTCACAGTGAAAGAATTGGAACCAAGCATTGCTGCATCAGGGCTTTGGAAAAGCTCTTGTCCTCGTGATTGGAGCATCGACGAAGACTTCTTTGTCTGGGAATGTTTAGGAATCACGTTCAAGAATCTTCGGTCAGGAATCGGAAAAACTTCGGAACAAAGTCTTGTGTCCGATAAATGTGCTGGTTCATCGGTATTAGAACTTAGATTGGCTTTCCGTTTTGATGATTTGTCCTGAAGGACAATTTCAAGTACAGCGACTTTGCGTCTTCTCCGTCTTGCTTGATCTGCGATATGAAAAATCCGAAAATAGGCAACCATGATTACAAGAGTCACAGAAAGTACAAAGACAATGAAACCGATTTGGAAGACGTCATCTGTAATTCCTGGAACGTAAGGCAAGCTTGTGAATGTAATAGCAAATACCCAAAAGGACACAATAACCCCAAGAACTCGGCCTGTTGCGTATCGAATACCAAAGCGATATTTCATTGGGTAATTAAGAGCAAGACATCGGTCGATACTCAAAGCTCCAAGATTGCAAATTGATGCCAAAATGTTTACTCGTCCAAGAAAACCTGCAACGGTGACACCAAGAGAGGAAATATCAGGTTTGCCGAGGAAGAAGGCAAAATGCTGCGAGGCTCTCATTGGAACAAGTATGATACACACCAACAAGTCGGCAACAGCTAACGACACAATGAAAAAGTTGGTAGCAAATTGTAAAGTTCTGTTCCGTAAAACTGCTAAGCATGTCATTAAGTTTCCTGTGGACCCTAAAAGACAAAGGCAAATTTCAACAATCGCGGCAACGAGAATTCGGGCTTCTCCTTGGTAAGCACTGGTCTTTGTAGAAGTTCTAGTACTATTTTCAAATGATTCCATCATTTTTACACCATCAGTGTGGTTGCTATAGTCAAATTGCTGTATGGTTTTTCGATGAGCAGTTTTTCCATGCTTCAAGGCCCAAACAGATTGGATTCATTGCCAGTTTTCAGCTGTTCTTTTTCGCATTGACACCTGACTCAAAGACTGAATCACATATTAATAATGTTATAAATATTTATGGTATTTGAGTAATTCATATGTCTGGAAACATCATTGCTATAGCAGGTAGTAACCGTGCGTTTAATCTGTTACCCACTGGTGGTCCTAATCGTTCTTACTATTTATAGATTAACTTGGAAAAACTAGTAATAAATCCTGCTGAATTCAATTCATAACTCTCATGCCAGAAACTGATGACAATTCCTGAAAATTTCAGATATGTTTAGTAGAAATGTCATGTGGCGCRAGTAGATTTCATTGTAAACTGTTAGTGGAGYTAGCTGATACACCTGTCAAAGAAAGTAACCTTACATTTTACAAATCTGTGGAACACTCTAGAATTAGTGGATTTGAAACCAATGTAGTTTTAATAATTATTTATTTGTCATTTTTCATGAGTACAAGATTTGTCTTCGATCTACGTAATAAACACTGATTCGTCAGGATTATATAATATTTACAATTTTTTACATATAATAGAAATCTAACTATATTTTTAGTTTGGTCGATATTGCTACGGACGACCACTTGGCGCTGGCCTTAATTTGATTGTCTTCTGTGCGTATTGTACAGAGCTTTTTTAATCCTTACAAGAAGGCACCTCATTTGCAGTGAACACGTTCGTCCTTTTAGCATATTGGACTGAATCTTGTCCGTTTCTTATGTGGCCTAGGTACTCCACAAATAGCTCAAACTCTTTGCATTCTGACTGCCAAGATGGCCGACCTAACACACCCTATCGTGGCCTCAATGATTTTACTGTGTGGCACAGGGACCACACATATGTTGAGGAATGCTAAGTACTGCAGTGTACTGCAACGCAATGTAACATTCAGAGAAGGAATCTAAGAGTGTGGATCCACAATAATAATAATAATAATCAATATAGAATGGTGCTATGCATGCAATATTATTAACTCGCGCTTGTTTACATTATTGCTAGTTATTGCACTACGTTCGTTGTCGATAGTGCTGTACTAGTTCGAGTGGTTTGATGCGATGGTGACTGATTCGATACTCTCCCACATCGCAGCACAGAAAATATGATTTTACCAAACTCCATTCTGAATTCACGCATGCGCCATGCGTATAACATTGGATTTATGACGGAATTGCTGTACAAGAGAATTCGTACCCAGAATGTGGCCAGTTCACTTGCAAGTGTGGATGGGTTGGCATAGTGGTAGAGAATCATGATGATACGTGGATAAACCAACAGAATTAACGCACCAATCACGATTCCGATGGTCTTCGTTGTTTTGTAATCTCGATGCTGGTCTTTCCTCATAGCGTTATTATCCGATTGGGGAACTTTCGGACGATCATCGGAATCCGAATAAAAAGGCAAAGCCTTATTGTTGTTTGTCTTCACAGTGAAAGAATTGGAACCAAGCATTGCTGCATCAGGGCTTTGGAAAAGCTCTTGTCCTCGTGATTGGAGCATCGACGAAGACTTCTTTGTCTGGGAATGTTTAGGAATCACGTTCAAGAATCTTCGGTCAGGAATCGGAAAAACTTCGGAACAAAGTCTTGTGTCCGATAAATGTGCTGGTTCATCGGTATTAGAACTTAGATTGGCTTTCCGTTTTGATGATTTGTCCTGAAGGACAATTTCAAGTACAGCGACTTTGCGTCTTCTCCGTCTTGCTTGATCTGCGATATGAAAAATCCGAAAATAGGCAACCATGATTACAAGAGTCACAGAAAGTACAAAGACAATGAAACCGATTTGGAAGACGTCATCTGTAATTCCTGGAACGTAAGGCAAGCTTGTGAATGTAATAGCAAATACCCAAAAGGACACAATAACCCCAAGAACTCGGCCTGTTGCGTATCGAATACCAAAGCGATATTTCATTGGGTAATTAAGAGCAAGACATCGGTCGATACTCAAAGCTCCAAGATTGCAAATTGATGCCAAAATGTTTACTCGTCCAAGAAAACCTGCAACGGTGACACCAAGAGAGGAAATATCAGGTTTGCCGAGGAAGAAGGCAAAATGCTGCGAGGCTCTCATTGGAACAAGTATGATACACACCAACAAGTCGGCAACAGCTAACGACACAATGAAAAAGTTGGTAGCAAATTGTAAAGTTCTGTTCCGTAAAACTGCTAAGCATGTCATTAAGTTTCCTGTGGACCCTAAAAGACAAAGGCAAATTTCAACAATCGCGGCAACCAGAATTCGGGCTTCTCCTTGGTAAGAAGTTCCTTTAGTTGAAGCCAAAGTGCTATTTTCAGAGCCTTTCGAGTTCATGTTTCTTTTGAATACAGCAACCAATTGAGTTSCTCAGTTCAGGTGGTWGTCTTATATATCCACGCGCACTTATCAAATAGCTTTCCTTGTCAACTTAGATGAATTTGTACAATAAACCGGATACTTGCAAAATCTTAATCYAGCACAAATGAACTTTATAACCGAATCGACAATATAATTGAGAGATGTTTACTAAGAAGAGGACCAGTGAGATGTAATCGCAAACAAAACGTGCCAGCGGCAGTCAGTCCTACACCAATATATTTCTTACTCCTCACGACTGTCAGATTTTAGTTGATATCAGTTCCGAAACGAGTTTTTGACCGTACGTTTGTGATGCACGGGATAACCAAATGTTATTTTAAAGCTTTTCCGGTCGTAAGTCGTGAATGAAGCAAATTAYATTTTTAATTCTGAAGTAATTTAACAAGAAAAGAAAGTGACGTTTCGCACCATATTGTGTATAATATATAAGTCGAAGCAGATGGTTTGGGCTACAAGACACTAGAACATGTTTCTACTTGCCGAAAATACTAGTGAAATTCTGTTTTTGTACCAAAAAGGATTTACTTATCATTGATCATATTTAATGGAATTCAACATTTACAATTTTCAATGATACCTTTTCAGATGGTAATTAATTAAAAGGTGTTTAATTTGAGCTCAAAGATTTCTAACTTTAACTAGTTATTATTCAAGATCATCATTTTTTTCTTAAGAACATTTGAAACTCTTTTCGAAAAGTAAATAGAGGTTTTAATAATAAAACTTGAAGGATATAGTTGTCATTATTAAAACCTCCGACTGAGTTTTCAGAAAATTATATTTTCAACCTCCTCTTTATATGTCGACAATGTCCCAAYCCGTTGAACTTAATTAAATAGGATGGTTCAAGAACATAATTATATCTATGTAAACATCTTCATGTCTTCATAAGTTATACGTCTTATGGAGGCGTTCTGTCCCCTAAGAAGAATAAATCAATTGACATCAGTGTACAGAAAAAACAGGTAGCAAGCTTGTCCCATCTGAACTAATTATCAACGGACTTGTATATAGACGCGTGGGGCTGCTTCATTGTACGGTGATTGAACCCTCATTTTTTTATTATTGACATAAGCTGTTCATGGCATGGTCTTGCAAGTGATCATCAAAATGAGTCGATGGAGTGAGACAGATGGGGCTCGTGGGAGTTCTCCACAATATTGTACATTGCACTATTAAAGCACTGAAACAAGCTAAAACAGGTCGAAAACAATAGATATGGAAGTTCAAACAAGATTTATGAGTTGTTTTTGTCGATAAGTGAATTCTTAAAATGCCGGATATMGGTKCAGATCGGATCATTCAGCTATAATTAAAGGTAATTCGGTCATCGACTAAGAAATGGGCCCACAAACTATGCATGACGACTCTGGATGTTATAACARGGGACAGAAATAAAATGCACGCAATAAAATCCATTTTCGTTCCCTATTATTCTACTATCTACACGGAAAATAAGATTGGTTATCTGATCAAAGTTAGCCGGTCGAATCGATCAAAATCAAGGGCCACAATTAATCTTTTTGTCACATGGTTAGAGATTTTAATCGTTGGCAGATCTGCAAAGCTAAGAAATTTCCAGTCGGACTAATTTTCAGAATTCTTTTTTTTTTTTCAGCCTAGTTTTTTACTTTCAGCTATTTTCCTTTTTTGAATTTTATATATATATTTRTTTTGTTTTGACTTTTGGTTTGTTGTTGCATTGCTTATGCCAATTGCTCTTTTACTAATTGATTGACATTCGTTGGAAATAGAAGTACAAGTCAGATTTTAGAGTTGTGCTTGTGTTAATTTTACCCTCGGTTTTGTGTCCGACTCTTTGTTTTCAATTCGGAGACTTGTTTTGTAGAACTCTCGGATGACTTGCTGAATTACATCATATTGCCGGAATAGCTGTCGGAAATAAAATCGTACGAAATAAAACAACCGTATGTAAATTTGTCATTTTAATGTTAACTTTGAGTTTYATTGCTTTTTTTCCTTTCAACTTCCTTTTCACCTTCTCGTCTTCTTTTTGTTTTTTCTCTTTCTTTGCTTTGTGCTTCTTCTGTCAATTCTATATAGTTTTTTATAATTTCCTTTTTTTAATTTCCATTTCTGCTATCCTAATCAGAACTTTTTCATTTTCTTCTTTCCTTTTTTCCCTTTTTTTCAGCTATATCTCTCATTCTTCTATTCTTGTTCAGCCTTAGTAGTAATTTTTGTCGTTGCTGTTCCTGTATCTTCATGGTTTGCGTAGAGGAGACAGAAGAGGCATTAAACGGGCCATTAAAACGCCATTAAATAAGGAACGACATAAGCCACTATAGTGTGTCAAGATAGACCAAGTCAACTTGTGGTCAGTTATCAAAGTAAACAATAATTGAGCAGTTGTCYTGTTATTATTCAGCCATGCAGTGGAGATCATGTAATTGTTTCCAACATTAAAATTTGTTTCATGAAGAATCTTTCGTTCCCACATGTCACGGGCGGTCCCCGAGCGCTTTATATAAATATATAGCCCAAGATGTGTCAGTTATGACTTAGGGATCAGTCGGCCATTTATCTCCCTCATACTAGAAGGTGGACACCGGAGACCATCATTCAATGTTGATATGATGGGTGACCCTTTTTCAAGGCATTTTTTAAATAGTTTTTTATGAACATGCTTAAAAATCGGTCTGAAAAACGAGCTATCTTTCTTCGTCAATCCCATAGCGCATTTCGCGAGAATTGAAAAGCGCCATTCCAAAAAGACCATTCCATAGAGGTTTCGTATTCAACAGTTGAAAAAAATCTTACATCATTTCTAAGCGACGTAAGAAAGCCTTTAGAATGTTCAATGTTGKCCGTTATGGTATTGATGTGCATGTCTAATAAATATCAGTGTTATAAAGCCAAAGTGAGTCTGATTCAATATGCTTTATTATCTATCATCCATATTTTTATTTCAATCATGTTCCTCTTGGGATTGATCAGTATATCCTAGTTAATTTTCGTCGTACATCTGTTCTGGCTCGTCTTTTTTAGCGAGGGTATCGCAGTAACTTCGCCTAAACGAACCACGTACAGCATTCGTTTCATAAGCACGCGGTACATTACCCCCTCTCTTGTACCTGAATACCACGTATAGGCAATTCATTCGACCTTTGCGTTTTGTGGCTGTGCCGACGCCGAGCTCAGTTGAGGCCTTCCAGATAAGCTGAGTGAAATGCCCAGTAGCCATCGAAAACCCAGGTCTGTTGAAGTTGTACTGGCAGACTTCATCATACCTAAAAAGGTAAATGCAGATTATACTTTGTGAGTGCAAGACGGGTGCAGCAAAAGTAACAAAATTCCGATACTTCTCCAACGATCAAAGACCGGGAACTTTCCAAGTATACCCTAGTTTTTGTCAGAGGGGGACGAGGAAATGGAGGGTGCCATTTTCAATCCCCAATAGAAATAATTTAAATCTGCCAGTTTTTTAAATGCCTTTTTTACTTTTTGAGCGATCTGTGAATTCTAAAAATTCACAAAAATGGTCGAATTCAAAAACCTCCCTCTCCCCCACAGTACGACGGATTCTTCATTTGACGCGGTGCGTCAACATTCCGTTGCTCGGCGCAGGACGAAGCAGTTGCGATACTTACAGTTGCTTGACRGCTTGTTTAGCAGGCAGTGGTTCATCATATGAACTACACCGGTACACGAGGTTCTCACCATTCGTTCTGTCAGTCCGAGAACTCTTTGGAGAGTGCTTAAATCTACCGGTTCTAGCAAGTGTGCGAGCATAGCCAGCAGCGTTACTACTCATTGCTTGATTCAGTCGCAACGGACCGGCTTCGTGAGTGCGACGATATCTGTTGTGAGCCTCCAAGGTTTGACTGGCATAATTACCTTTGAAACAAAGAGTTCGAATTCTGTTAAGGAGAGTTTTTGTTTATTTTGTAGAATCCTGCAGACGCATATCGAAAAATCAGAGAAAATAGCAAGAGTGCTGACGAGGTTGATTGGGAAAAAATTTAAGCGGAAGAACAACGAGAAAAAGGAGATGGATGTGAGAGTAGAACGAAGTAAAAGTATGGGAAGATGATGACACAGATGAGGGCTTAGTGTTGATAACAATGACGACGAATGAAGAAAGAGGAAGCCTTTCTTAAAAGAAACTGTACCTCCAACTTACCTGTCACCTCTAAAAATGCAAAGCTTCCAATAACGAAAAGAACCGCCAGAAACATTTTCTTCACTACATATCGAAAAATATTTATGTCAATCRATGAAGCTCTAATGACAATCAAAGGGATAATATTATGTCGCTTTATAGTCGGGTTGACGACTTTTTTTATGATCATGATACGTACATTCGAGTTATATAAACTATCCACAAATTGTTATACTACAGACAACTTATGTACTTGGTAGTATGCATAGAAATGCTTTGTCTCTTCTCAACAAATTCTAGAGCATTTTATAATAGAGTGAATATTTTTCATAAGCCACATGGCAATTGAAACATTGGAAATGCTTTAATAGGTGGACAAAACCTTTCAGCCAAGATCAGCAGTTGATACTAAATATCTGCCTTTTTAGCGGTTTTTTGTTTTGTTTTTTGTTTTACCTACCGCGCAATTTGTCTCTTTTATGACTGTCCGGTTCAATRAAAAAAGATATATGCACAAATGAGTAGGTAGTAAAAAAAATTACCTTTATGCTGCCCCACCTGAAACCTTATGTACTCACAGATCACTGATGGGTTTTCCTTTTGTAGTAAAACAATTGCCACGTATTTATCGAAAAAAACTAATAGATTATGTCAGTCAAAGCCATGTAGCACCAGAAAAAAACAAGCTCATTACCAGTTGGACGTGTCGAACGTTTAATTAAATTTTCTTATTCACTAAAAGTTTATTTTTCCAAAGTAATTATATATGGGKTTTTAGCTTAAAAATAGATACATTCGCATGAAAATAGAAGATCTACTGAGGAGGAATTACTCAGAGTCAAGAAACTTTKCCAAAATTTGACGACAAAAAACGTGCATTGCTTCATGACTGCATGTTGACGGGTTGTGGCAATTACAGTAATTCATATTACAAAGAAATTAACACTTTACCTATCAATCAACAGCTTTATTACAGAGTAATCTAAACAATAGAAATATGAAATTAAACTACTTGTTAATGTCAGTCAGGGACGTGTGCAGGGGTTTCTTGGGAGGGGAGGGGTGGGTTCCAACTTTTTTTTACTCTTTCTTATGGTTTCACGACCTAGTGAACAAGGCGATTGACTGCAAATTTGGTTTCGAGCCGGAAAGATTTTTACACTATCAATGCTCTATTGACTTTTGGCAAATTTTGTCGAATTTCAAAGACTTTGCACGGAAGGGAGGTTATGCCCCCTTCCAGAGATCATGTCTTATGAGAACAAAAGGAGCCCTGTGCTAGTAAAGCATTTACGAGCGCTGGTTGAGATTCACAAAAAGAACATTCCGTTACTTTAACTGAAATTTAGGACTGGAATGTGGTGTGGAAACCGCAATCTCACTAATATGGAATGGAAAAAATGACATTCTAAAATTCTTCACCCAGACAAAGAATGCTAAGAATATATTCTGCTTTCCCTGCTTATTCTAGAATCGTAGCCAGCGGCTTCAGTGCCTTTAGTTAGTATACGAAAATATCTAAAAAAAAGCTTATAGACTTTAWGGCAAATCATCCGTTTTCGTTTTTTATGAATTCATCAGATCGCGGGCTCGTAGCGGCGTTGCTAGTAGCAACCCTTCAGTACGATCAAGATGGCGGAATGTCAGTGTTGTTTTGGGAAACAAGAAAATAGCTGCTGAAAAAGTTATAATTTTGTGCCTGAAAGACAAAGGAAATGGCTCAAATCGATAATATGGTGAGTATGGTTTCTGTGTATTGTATTTTGAATTGAATTTACGGTAGAAACTGCACGAAAATGCCGATAGTTCAAAAGATAAGCTAAGACCACCAAGAGAGTTGCTGTCAGGAAGCCATTTGCCATTATGAAATCTTATTTGAATGAAACCTACATTTGAAGCGAAGTTTAATCGCGTTACTTCCTCTTAAATCAAGAGATTAAGTTTGACTTTGGAGCACGATTTTCTTTATTTAACATCATAAGAAGTTTTTTAAACAAATTATCAATTGTCATTTTCACTATTTAAGTTAAAACGTTCGTTGAAATTTAACTTCATAGCACATTGTAGAGCTATTTTCTTGACATTTTAATTTTTCGTAATGATGTGTAAGGTTCAGTGTGATATTAATCGAGTTTTTATTTTATCAAGAAGATTCTGTATTTGTTTAATGAACATGTATAAATTTCTTTTGTGAGATTTTGATGATTTTTTTATTTAAATTTTTGAATACCAGTTTGACAATCCGTCTGGTTTAAGCCGAAGATGGGTTTGGCGAGAGGAAACCAACACATTGGAAGCCATCAGGTATTTGATTATTGGTGACTGTTGATTAGCAGCTGTCAATCAAGTGATCAGTCAGTTTTTGTTCCAAATGCTTGAAGATCCAATTCAGTCTAAAGTGGATACTTCTTCATTCTTGATTGGACAAGCCAACAGTTTCATCTTCAAGCAAATTGAAGATGAACAACTTATATTTGAATGAAATAAACCAATTGGAGATTTTATACTTGACTGACAATCTATCAACCTGGAAAAATCAAGGAATTGTTTTTAGTCACCAAGGCCTCTTTGTTGACTTCAAGAATTCATTACATTGAGTATTAGGGTTTTGACAACTGCCAAGTTTTAGAGATTTTAGCAAGTAATTCACACTCAATTAACATATTCTCACTTTATATACTTACTAGTACATGTTATTGTATGTGGCATAGGAGTTTTGAAAAACAACTTTATTTGTTGAACTGACTTAAGATTTCTCACTGCATTTAGGTCTAATCATTTGTTTGGTGACTAGTTGTAAAGGAAATTTATGAAATTTTTGATATCATTACGTACAAAAATGTTTTCACAGCAACAACACTGGCGCAATTGAAAGGAGTACAAACTTCACAAGCACTGGTGCCAAARCTAAACGTAATAAAGGACAGCTTGGAATTCATTTTCAATCCGATTATAGCAAGAAAAACGACAGGTATTTTATGACTGAGGACTTCCTTGTTGAATAGCCCCATCCACGTGTACAAAATTCATAGAGTGGATACATTTTTATCCAAAATGGTGGARATCTGTAGTAAACTAGTATGAGATGCTTCAGTGTTTCTAAAGAAACAGTTTATGTATGAAAGATCAGAGAAGAAAGAAGGAAAAAAGTAGGACAGGTGAAACAAATAACTGCATGATGTTTTGGACGTTAATCCTTGTCAGTAGTTGTTTCTGCAATCACCTACTTTTTTTACAGTGTTAAATTTATCTTTTTACACAACTGTTAAATTTTTATCCAGCCTTTTTACTATAATAGTATGTAGGTTATGGCTAACCCTATGACTAGAGCTATGAAATCTAACTGATACCTGGTTTGAAAAGATATCATCTAGCCACAGCCTTTTATATATATTATACAGCCCTGATATACACATTTAACCAATATTTCACTTGAMAATTCCAGAGGAACGCCTTCAGTTATGTCCAGAAATATAGGTGCAARTTCCCGTCGAGGACARACATATTTAACATCGCAGCGTGCAGGGAACATGAAGGGTACATCCCCAAGAGCAAGTCTCAAAGCTGGTACTTATGAACACAATACAATCACACTGGATGATGTCAAAAGTGTTGCTCTTGACTCGATTCCTGATGTTGAAGTGTTCCCAGAGGTTTTCCAAATGGCTTGTAGGTGAGTGCAAGAGCTGCATCTTCTGCAATAAACTGTATAGAACTCTCATTTTTTCCCTTGAAGTAATATTCTCTTTTGCTAGCTTTATTGTGCCACATGAGAAGTAGTGTTTTTCATGTCAGAGTAGTAGCTCTTTCGATTTGTTGAAAGGTCTTGGTAACATGAGCTTCCCCTCTCCTGTTTGTTACTCTTTTTTAGCATTTGCTTACATTATTCGCATCACTTAATTATTGACTAAAGGTGTTTAATGCAGTCTAAATGTACATTTAGGAGGATTCATTTGCAGGAGAAGTAATCCTTTTTAAACAACTTTGTCTTTTTTCAGCACAGARCAGTTTGATGAATACCTGCTTGCAGTTTTAAACTACTTTAATGCTTTCTTTGAAAGACTTGCCATCGAAAACAAGCCAAAACCCATGGCTGTGTGAGTACATTGTACATTGTGTCATCAACTTAGAGTGTAATTATTTATATCCCTGACAGAAAAATCATAATAATTTATTTAATAAAAGACACACAGGATTTGGCATGAATTATTATGAGTTATTGAACATTGTTAGCAAACTGTTTTAAGATGTAGTTCTTTGATATTTGTTTTTTGATATTTTAGTGAGCCAAGTCTTGCAGAGAAGAAAGCCCTGGCTACAGCTATTTCCAAACAAGAGGCAGCTCAAAAACTGCTCTCACAAAGCTACTGCACCATGGTGCTTGGCCTYGGACTGGAGGAACAGCACCATATGGCATGTGGAAAGTATGTTTCATCAGTATTTCATAATTTTGGGCCTTCAAAATTTCTCTCCAAGTATTATCTTTACAACCTGTACCTATTTCTTCTCTCTCTCCTGTTATTCATCTCTTAATTGTCTTTATTTTTTTCTTAACATCTCTTTTCTTTTCTCACATTTTCCATTTTTCTCTTTTCCTGTAAGCTTTTCCCCTTTCTTGTATTAATTCTTAGTTTTCACTTGCTCTCTCTTCTTATTTACTTTTTGTACCTCACGTCATGTTCACTCTTGTTGGTTTTTTTCCCTCTCACTTGACATCTACTTTGTGAAAAATTTTTTCTCACTATTYATCATGCTTTTGCTTTCAAGGTCTCGTGTCTCAAACACAGCAAAGGATAGATCGCTATATGAAGTAAGGTTTTACTGTACTTTCTTTTACTTTAGTTAATCAAACTCTTCATGTGACTCTGCATGGTTTTGCATTAAAATGCGCTAATTTTGAAATGCGTGGTTAACATTGGGGAAAAAACATGGAAATTCATACCACATTTTGTTTGTAATTCAGCTCCTTTACAGGTTTGCATCTTTTGTAACGTTTATCACTTTTCGAAGGCAGCATCTTGATCTTATCCAGAAAGAGCTTGGAAGGTATGTCACAAGATAATGCAGTAGGCATTGTTTTGATGTATTTGTCCCATTATTCAATCATTCATCCATTTATTCATCTGGTTTCTTCAATCCCATTTTCATTTTTCTGTTCATTCAACTATCCAATAATTTATTAAAGATTTTCTTCATTTGATTTGTCCAATCCTTTCATTTAAATTTGTTTTTTCACCTTCATTTTCCCTTTCATGCAATATTGATATTGCTTCAATTTCATTTTCKAAATAAATATGTTCATCTCTTCACATTCAGTATATAGTTCTCGTCATCCTTTCAGTTGTTTGTTCATGCATCCTTTCATTCTCTTATTCATGCATTTGTTTATCCATTTACCCATGTGTTCATCCATTTACCCTTGTGTTCATCCATTCATATAGTTCAAAAATTAAAAAATATTAAGCATTATTTTRGAGATGTTCATACCACATTATGCATACTGTTTTTGGTTAGCAACTGTGATATCTACATATTTTTTTGTTATGGATATCAGAATGTTTAGGTCAGATACCTTTAATCCAGCTAGCAGACCAAAAGAAGTCAAAGGTAAACATTATTTTGTATTATCATTTCTAAAAGCAAATATTTTTATGAGCAGCCCAGTCTCCTTCGCTGACTACCCTGTTGTCAGGCTTCCTGCCCCTTATCTTTTGGGAGGGACAGGAAGCCCAACAAAAGGTGAGGCTGTGAAGAAGGTTAGTCATAGTCTAGTCATTGTTTGTTTGACAGAGGTTTATGCAATGGACAGACTTAAAGATAGCACTAAAAAGCAACTAACTCCAGCAGAATATCGACGTCTAAAGCCGTGAGTAAAAAGTGCTTTTCCTTCCAATAATAATAAAATGTTCCTGTGATATAAATTGTATATTTGTCTCTAGGAAACGACCAGCTATTAAATCTATAATCAAGTAAGTGCGTTATTGTATTTCATGCATCTGATTTTATAATTCTATTGTAAGTTATCTCTTCTACAGCTGTCAACCCTATCTACAGTAGTTTGATATTCAATTATCTTCTCTTCAGTTCTCTTCTCTTCGATTCTCTTCTCTTCAATTCTCTTCAATTCTCTTCTCTTCAATTCTTTTCTCTTCAATTCTCTTCTCTTCAATTCTCTTCTTTTCAATTTTCTTCTCTTCAATTATCTTCTATTCAATTCTCTTCTCTTCAATTCTCTTCTCTTCAATTCTCTTCTCTTCAATTCTCTTCAATTCTCTTCTCTTCAATTCTTTTCTCTTCTTTCCTCTCTTTTTCATGAAATTAACTTCTTGATGCAAATTGATGACTCATACCTTATTGTTGTGTCATTCCTTTAGTCAGCGTTCACCAGTTCTTGTTTCATTATTACCAACATCCAAGGAATCATCTCCATGGTTTCTTGATAGATCCAAAGCAATACCGCTCTCAGCAGAGTAAGTGAATGACTCTTTATTGCACAGTTGCTTCTAAAATCATTGTTCAAGCAGCTATTAACCATGTGTGAAATATTGTAACTAGACTTGTAATTGTGAGTAATATGCACATGCAGGGAAATGGCAGCATTTAATGTACTAAATTCTGATTTTCTTAATTTTATGTAGTGACCTCCCTCATGAAGAAGAAGAAAATCATCTTTTCATCAACTCTAAGTAAGACATTCTTTATTTAGCTCATTCATTGCCAGAATCTTACTTGACTGTACCTTACTGTAAATGAAATATAGAAACTTTATTATTATCTCAATCACTCAACAGATATCCTACATTTACTAATGGGAGGGACTTGGACTCACACATTAGCTCAACATTGACTGTTTAAGCACACAACACTCCTCACAGTTARTTTGTCGCTGAGGGAAGTCAATACCCGCATATCTGGAAAAAAGAGACTTAGAGCAATGAAGAGAGCCAGTGTTATATGTACATACTCAAATTACATATTTATATACATGCAGTTGTCCTAGCCCAGGAATCAAAATGAACCATGATAGTAGTCAATATACATTTTGTAAACTAGTGTTTGAATGCTTAGTTGTCCTTGTTTCTCTCACTGATGCAACTAGGGTTTATGTTCAAGACTGATTTCTTATTTTGTAAATGAAGTCCTAACAATATTCAATGTTTTTATGCTTGTGACTAAAATCAAATTATAATTTACTATTGTCATTTCTTGATTGATAGAGTTGGTATCATTGGAGAGCCTATGTCAGGGTTCAACCCCATGACTCTTGCACCATTTGGTGAAGAAGACCACGATGAACCAGATGACAACGAAGAACGGAGAAAGTAATTTGATCTCATTGAACAGTATTCCTCTCATATGTTGTTATAATTGTATACACGAAAATACAAAGAATCAAAAATTATGGTAGATCCCAGCTTGGATAACAATTTTTCAATAACTATCCTCTAATACATGTCTGTCATTTTTTTGTTTTTGTTTTTGTTATTTACTATACTAAAAGTATTATTACTATGAAAGAAAGAACCACGTGGCACTATGAGATACATGATATAAAAATAAAGGAATGTTATAGTGCTAGGAAGGAGGTTATTCTGGGAGAAGGACCCTTGGAAATATTAGTATTAATAGTATTATTTACTAATTGTTTTTTTCAGATCTATTAGTGATGAAGCTGGATTGCCACCTGTACCAAGTAAGTACTTAAGTTAAGCATGTAATTAGGTTTACTACTGAAAGTCTTGAAGTCAAACTAAGCTCTTATTAAGATCCATGCCTGTATCTTCATTTGAAACTGGTCACAGTCACAAGACTTATAATTCACTTAGGTCACCCTTAGACTGAACTGTTGTGGTGTGAGAAAGCTATTTTAGTCATTACAGGCAGAACATACTCCAGTTGATGCTGGGCAAATATTGTTAGGGATGCCTTGCTGTAAGATGCTATTCAAAGGAATTTTTATCTGGGTTTTGTATAGTTGCAACAGACCAGAGCAAACTATCACATCTACATGTACATTCTGCAAAATGTCTTACAAAAATTTTTTTATTTCCATCAGACACCGGTGTATCTGTRGATGAGACAGAAGAAGAAACAGAGTTGGATCAAAGCTGATTTTGATTTAATTGGCTGAGATTTATAAGATAATATGTTGGTMAGTGAACACAGACAAGGAACTGTTCCCTTCAATTCAGACCCCGATTACACTTTCAAGATCTTTGAAGTGAATTTGTACATAGTTTGATAATGATTTGAAAGAAAAATGTAATAAAATATCATATCAATGTCTCTGTTTTATTTCTTTCTATTGGTTTTTGATTGTTTATGTAATATGAAATTGTTTGGTGTTCTTTTAGTTTGTTTGAGCAATGGAGATACGTCTTACACTTCTAAACAACTAGAAGTAACTATGGAATCTCCCAACCCTAAGTCATGAGTATAGTGACAAAACAAGGCATAAAGATTCTGAACTAACACTACACAAAGTCATTTATTTTCTATACATTTATTTAACTTTACTGCATATATTGCTGAGGTTGAGTACATGTGCTATGCCAAGTATATTRATTAACAAGTGCATTTCCAAAAATGGTCTAGTGTAAATTACTCTTCTAGTAGGAATATACATGTATTTCTAAGTAACGTTTAAAATATGAAATATAATAGCTACCCTATTGTAATTAGAGAGAGTTGAGCAGTTTTCCAAAACCCTTGAAGTAGTCATTAAACGATCGTCAAAAGATGTTTTGCTTGAGATGCAGAAAATTGTGCAAACTTGCACATTTTTGAATTTTGTATACTTTCAAGGTTTCCTGATTCATTCTGAGTGAGCGATTTCATTGTTTTACTTTTGAAATGACAAATTTAAAAAGTAAATTGTTCATCTTGAATGGTTTTCATGGGTTTTTGAAATCCTTGCAACATAAAAGAAACCTCAAGTCTGTGTTTAGAACTTGCTTGTTAAATTGTAAATAGTTGTCTAAATACAATAGTTTTAAAATATATTATTTAAATTCAGCGCCCAAAGTCACCTTTTTGATCAGTTTTTTTTTTCGGGAAGTACATTGATTAAGTGTTCTTCTTTGAGTCATTATTTTCTTCAATCCCCTTGTTCTTTTTGAAACCACTTTTCTGTAACGGGCGAAATCCACTCTCGTTTCTACTTCGTTTTCTACTTCGTTCTCTTTTCTACTTCGTTGGTATGTCAGTTCAATAAAACCCTCCGGTTTCTCTTCTATGCATGTCAACCACAACTGGTCGATTGTGCGCCTTTCTAGAAGTGGTAGGCCTCGACATTTGACAACCGCCTCCAGTCGTAAGCCTTCCCGCTTTCTTGTCAAATGTTTTAAAACCGCTAAGATTCTGTTGCCTTTCTTCCTTTTTTACATCACATTTTGGCGTCAGGATAGCCGATGCAGGATCAAATTCAAAATCGTCGCASTTTGTTAGGCCTTGATTCGAAGGTTCCGTTGTGCCTTCTTGTACTAGCTGGCTTGAACCTGGGTCGAATTCAAACGGTTCTCCGTCTCTTAGAGGCGTTACATGGCCATGAACTTGGTTTCTTTCTTCTAACCTACACGTCGCAGGATTGAAGATCATGTCTTCTGAGTACGAGCCCATTGCTTTTTGCGCTAGAACTATTATTGCACTCCAGTGTTTTCTCTCTCGCGTCTCTTTCAATATGGCAGTTGAACAGTTTTGCGACGAAAGAAATATCCCCGCAAAAATCCCTTTTCTAAATGCTGTTATGACGTCAGTATGCTGAGTTGCAGTATTTTATGTTTAAAATTTTGCAGTGTCATTATATTCCGTACGTARCAGGTACTAGTAAACTTCTAGTAGGCCCAAATTGATTCATTTCCTCGATTTAAAGCTRTATTGAACTTTATTTAGAAACATCTTTGAAGAATAAAGAAAAAGAATGGAGTTTATGGAATTTCTAGAATTCTCTAGAATTTTCCTATAGTATCAGTCAGCATTTTTTGGCTTGTGGGGAATTTTCCTAGAGTTTTTCTCAGAATTTTTCCTACTCAGTCGGCATTGTTTTGACTTGCGCGGGGATTCCCCTGTATCTCTCGAGCCTCCAGGGGAAACCCCTATTTTTTATTCATAATATATAYGAAGCTTTCCGTTGAATATTTTATTATTTACTTGTAGAAATGGCCAAATCGTTTGCATMTCYTGAAGAAGTTGTCATCAAAATTACTCAGAAAGACTTCTTAGATATTCTGTGGAATGAGAATCCGATTTTTTTCAAGAAATTCACAGTCGAATCGATTGACGATGGAGATGTTTTGAACGTCAGCGTATCTCTGATTCCAAATCAACATGGAATGTACAAAAATACAAGTCAGGTTGGCTATAAATTAGTTGAAAATTTGACAGAAGATGAAAAGGAGAGAAGCCATTTGGCATCAGAAGTGTTCAAAGTGTTGGAAGATGTCGACAAAACTCGAATAGCATTTTTGGTTGCTCGTAGTAACATCAAGGCCTATACCACCTGGAATAATTCTACTGATGGACCCAGAGAGACGAGTGTGCTCTTGCATCCAACTAAAGAGACCCTATATTCAAGAAGTCGTGGTATTCTAGAGTCTAGTCTACTGGAGAACAAAAAGGTCGCGATCATAGGCTTGGGAAGCGGTGGTTCACACATTGCTATCGAGCTTGCAAAAGCAGGTCTGGGTCGATTTGTACTCATTGACTATGATCGTATCGAGTTAAGCAACATCATTCGCCACACCTGTGGCATTAAAGATCTTGGTAGATTCAAAACCAAAGCCATTCGTGATCAAATCCTTGAGAAGAACCCCTTTGCTGAAGTTGACATACATAACATAGACATCAATGATATACCAAAGGCAATGAGTGATGAGATCGGTCTGAGAGACTGCAATCTCATCATAGCAGCGACGGACAMTAGCCGAAGTCGCTTGAATATCAATGACATCGCTTTTGACTTGAATATCCCTGCCTTGTTTGGCAAATGTAAACAGCGAGCCTCTGGAGGTGAGGTGGTAGTCGTACGCCCAGGAAAGGGTCCTTGCTTTACATGTATATGTGGTGGTCACAGTGCCAACGAAGAGGTTTCGTCGTTCAGACAAGCAAGGGAGGCTAACCCCGCTTATGTCTCAGACAGCGAAGTTGAGGCGACCATACAAGTGGGTCTGTCATCAGACATCTTCCCCATCAGCAACATGATCGTCAAGATCGCGCTGGTTGAATTGTGCAATGGAAAGGATACAGCTTTGGCGTGTTTGGAAGAAGACTTCAGAAGATTCTATTACGTTTGGGCCAACCGCACCGATGCGAATTACTTTGAAGAGTATCAGGAGCATGGCTTGGAATCATTTCAGTCATTTGATGGTCTACCATCGATTTTACGGTGGTATGCCGTAACAAACACGGAAAAAGACAAAGATTGTTTAACATGCAACTATAAGGAGGAAAACGATGATAAGTCATTGGATGAGTAATTTTGCCCCTGTTCACGACTAATACAAATTAACATTTTTCCTGAGGTTACTGAAGTGTATCGGGGGAGGGAAAATGCTCACACCCACTCTGGTACACACCCTCCCAGAGATTCGCAGGGGGTGGGGCGGGGGGTGGGGTGGGGGGCGGACAGGGGGAGCGGCTGTCGTGCTAAATAAGTTGGTGTGGCTGGTTGGATTTTTTTTTTAAATATCATTATTGCAATTGATGCCCTATAAAACGTGGCTATCAAAACTAGAGAGAGAAAACTGAGAAAAAGAATATCAGTTTAATTTTGTGACGTGATGACAAAATAAATAATGAGGAAATGAAAATGATGATTTCAGAGAATCTTATACATTTTTGTATCGCTGTCATCTTGCTAATAAAATGATCTGCCTGTATCAAAATATGTGAATACCTGTCATTTGCCCTTTATCAAGTTTTGGTCAAGGATTCATTGACCTCAGAACGTTGTGCCGCCAACGGCACGAAAGGCATAAAAATAACTCAAAGGAGCTGAGTCTGCATGGGTCCAAAAAGCGCGCTATGCAATGCAGTCATTAATGCAGTCAACGTGCCGAAGATACCGAGCTTGACAGGGGGGCTGGTGAGAATGAGATGCAAGGCATTGTTTTGTCAATTAACAACGTGACCTTGATTTTCGCTGATTCATCCCCATAAACTTATCACTTCAGATTCTTTTTCCCTTGAGGTAAGTTTTTAAAGAATTAATAGCCRTTCTTTGACTGTAATTCTTCGTATTATCATATAGCGGTTGCATGAAAAATTTTGCTGAGAAAGAGCATGTGCTTGTTCTGTGACTGTCACCGCCTCCGCTTCTAATGAAGTGTAATCTAGAAAAACTCACCTTAGAGACATCTATACCGGCTAGAGGTTATCTAGCAGGTTTAATACACATTTTGAATGAGTCGTTATGAAGTACGGCTGGAAAACAACTGAACAATGGGAGTTTTTCCAAGGAAAACTGATTTTTTCGATCCCTTATGAGCATCTTAACGAAAGCTATTGTGTTTACACAAGGCTGAACTTAGTTATTATTTTTATTCTCTTTTTGAAATGCAGTCAGTACCATAGCAGGTAACAATGGTATAAACAAATCCTGCTCAATAAGATGTAAAAATACAGCTGCATTGGTTTTGTAACAATGAAGTTTTAGCCTCCAGCGCTGATTTAGCTACCGAAGCCCGCCATGATCTTGCATGGTTAACCTTGGAGGGAAAGTACACCACGAGCAAATAAATGCTGTCCGGGATAATTTAGGCTGGAACTTCCTTAAAGTTTAATGTTTTTGTTTAGTTACTTAGTAATGTGATATTTATTGCTTCTCCATAAAACGCTGCACGCGAAGTTTTTGCTTTAGATTATAAGATTTAACATCTGCTTGCAGAAAAATATCGTGATCAATATTACCATATTAGCATAATTCTCTGTTGTTGTGTATATGAAGCGGGTTTTATGTTATTATTCACGGGGCACAGTTGAAGTGGATTTCCTTTGATGCTCAATAGTGAAATAATTTGAAATCTTATCTTGTTGACCTTTTGTCCAAGTGTGCCTTTTGAAAAGCAATCCAATCTAGGGCTTTTGTTTTCTAAAGAGATATTTTAAATTCAATTTCATTTCTTTCATTTMTTTTTTATTTTTTATTTTTTGTATTTCAGTACATTTTTGTAATTGAGCCCTTCTCTCCTCCCATTATCTTCTCTCTCCCTCTTCTTAATTTAACTCCTTATTTTCCTAAAAAAATTGGTATGTTTTCCTCTTGTTCTTTCTTTTCTTTTCTCTTTATCTGTTCAATTGTTTTTGGCTTTTCACATTTTTCTTGTCTTTCATTTTCTATCCTTTCTCCTTTTTCCACCTTCCCATCTATTTCTTTTTCTTTTTACATTTCACCACTAATTTTGTTTTATTTTATTTTCCATTATATTTGTCTCCTTTTTGTCTTTTTCTATACTTTCATTTCTCGTCATTAAACTCCTTATCAGTATATCTTCTTCCCTTTGAGGATCTCTCTTCACTTCTCACTACGGGAGAAAGGAACCTACTTTTCTCAGTGTACTTGGTTATTGTACTTAACTACATAGTCATAAGATTAACAAAACATTTGGAAATAATTTCCTAGACCATCATGTCTGACCATAACATTGCCAACGATGTTGCTAATGATGAAGAAGATGACGACACTGCTGAAGGACAAGATGAGAAAGATAAAATGCTAAGTGCACACAAGGAAAGGAGAAGTAGTACACCAGGCATCCAGCCAACACCTATGACAAATGCAAATTTATATTCCAAATATATATCATTTTGGTAATGAAACTATTCTTGATGTAATGCATTTAGAATCCACTAGTAATTCTGCTTGTAYGTGATGTTATAGGTGGCTTAACTCACTGYTAAAACTTGGTGCAAAACGTCCTTTACAAGCAACTGATTTCTATGGACTTCGACAAACTGAATCAACAGATTTTTTAGGAGATATTCTACAAAGGTTAGTACTATTGCACCAAAGTATATTTCAAAGCAGAAAATGATTTTTGAAGCAGAGCAATATGGTTTTGGATTATATTTTCAGGGCAATGTTTCGGCTTCGATAACCTGCCATGAAATCATCTAATTTTTTCTGTCTCTTAAATATGGAAACAACTGATGAATTCTTTTTTTTCAGTGAATGGGACAAAGAAGTAGGAAAAACAGAGGGAACCAAAAAGAAGCCAAGTCTGTTAAARGCTGTTGTCAGGACATTTGGATTTAGATATGCACTGTTAGGRTTTTTTGCAATTATATCTGTAAGTACCATCCCCCACCCCTCCCCCCTGCATACAGACATACCTCAGCCTACCCCACATAGATACGTGAAATGCCTTATTTTCAAGATCACAGATCTTCCAAACAGATATATAACTCTGCAGTAAACCTCAAATAGGTAGGCTTCAAGCTCCCCGTCACGGACAGCCTTACTCTATAGAAAGCCTTTTTAACCCAGGCTCTCAGATCAGATTGATTCTATTGATTCACTACCTAGCATGCAAAGTCATCATATAAAGATTCATTTATAACTCAATCCTTTATATACATGTCCCCACACTAGACAGATAAAGCTCACTATGCTAAGAATTGCACAGCATCCTGGGTGATGATGTTCAAGGGGAGGGGTGGGTAAAGTTATCCACTTGTTACTCTTATCCTCACCTTAGATTTTGTATGGGATTTATCAGCCTAATAAGGATTTATCTTATGGATATAAATACTAATAATTCACCCTTTGTACAACTGGTCCCTGATGTATAATTTTTCTTATCTATTTAAAGGATACATTACGTATTACTCAACCATTGCTGCTTGGCTTGCTGGTTAGGTACTTTGCTATTGGCTCCACTGTCACCCAGAAAGAAGCTTTCCTGTATGCCATGGGTGTTGCTTTATGTGCCATACTCAATAGCTTTCTTATGACGCCTTTCACTTTCATGCGTCAATTATTTGGCATGAGAGTGAGGATTGCGTGTACATCATTAGTTTATAACAAGGTAAAGAATGATGTAATAATAGAGATTCTATTGATGTGTTTGCATTACTGCATGACCAAGCCAGGACAAAGAAAATTGCAATAAACTTTTGTCAATTCTTGTAGCTGTGTGTGAATTGAAAGAGTGTGGGGGACTTGGAGGAAGTGTATGCCAAGGAATTGTTGCAAGTTTTTAACTCGAAGATTGCAAAGCAATCGAAGAGTTATAGGAGGGAGATAGATGATGGTGTGTGAGGTGAGRTGRACTAGTTAATAGGTCACTTATTTTTTCTGTAAACATACGGGCATTTAGAAGTCCGTAACCAAGACGGCCAGGTGTTTTCATACAGAAGTGCCTTTTTAAACACAAAAAATGTGATTTTTGAGGTCTGGACGTTCCTGTATAAGCTTCTTACCAATTAATCTGTTGATTTCAGAAGTCGTTTTAGGAGATATAGTGTCAATATGGCTCATAGCATGTCATAGATACGATGATTTCAAGGATAATTCCGATCCTTTCTCGATCGGTTTTTAATGCTCATCGATTCATATAAACTTTATCCTTCGTAAAAAATCGATGCACGGACAACTACAACAAGTAAGAACTCAAAATAGAAATTTGAACGGTTAGCATTCAAAGTGAAAGTATCATCACTTCAAACTAAGAAATTGTGATGGTTTTGTTAATTAAGGTCAAATAAGGTCAAAAATGCTCAAAACTCAAAACTCACTTATGCTCGTGATTCCACTTGAGTTTTGAGCATTTTTGACGTCAATTTCATTGTCAATAAGAGTACAGACAATGGAAAACCACCTGCGAATTGTTAAGTCGATATCGTTAAAGGCGTTACGGATGCATTTAAATTATTAAATTCAAAATTTCAAGTTCAATATTTTCATTTTATAGATTTTTTGTCGAAATTAGACCATATCTAAACAAAGTCTTAGGCTTCATGCAGATTTATGTACACGGTATACTTGTCTAACAATCTTCGAGTTGTGTCGCCATTGGCAGCTTGATTTGAGAGTCATGGTCTATTAGTTCTGGAAGAGAGAAAAGTTGACAGACCTGCAAAATTGCTATCCCAGTAGTGTACCTGAATTGAGGATATAACAAGAAAAATATAGTTGTCGCTGTTACACAAGCAAAATTGCATTTTTTTAAACTACTAAATTGGAGACTTTTTTATGTTTCTTTTATTCATGAATATTTGATTATAAATTATGTCTACCATCTAATTAAATAACTACACTGGACTTGTTTTAATAGATGACTATCACTAACAGTTCAGTGTACAAAATAAAGAACTGTGTCTAATGCTTTATGCTGTACATAACAGGTACTCAGATTAAGTCATTCTGCTATCGCCAAGACAACCACTGGCAAAATTGTTAATCTTATATCGACTGACACACAGAAATTTGATTGGGTAAGTTTTTCGGCAAAGTCATGTTCTTCCTTCAAGAAGTTTAATTACTTCAACTAATATGGAACTTATGTCTACTTATTAAATATTTTTAAAATCCTTTCCAACAGGCATCGTTCTTTTTACATTACATCATACTTGGTCCGATAGAGACCTTGATAGTMCTTTACTTGTTGTGGAGGGAAGTCGGTGTTGCCTCACTTGCAGGAATGGGTGTTTTGTTGATACTGGTGCCTATGCAGATGAAAATGGGGGCTATTTTGATGAGATTTAGGTGAGTRAACTAATAACAGACTATTAATAAACATTAAAAAATTAAAAGCAAATA